CCGCGCTCAATGTTAATTTGGGCATGCAGACTCTTAAAAACTCGCATTGGGCGGGCAGGGTTTCCCAGGTATTGGCTCCAAAACACCGTATTCGGCTCCCGAATACGTCCAATTGACCCGCCTCGTTCCTAGTTAAGCTCTAATTAGATCAAGTGACTCAAAGGGAGCGAAAAAGCGACAAAAAGCATGAATTTCCCTATGGCGGCGGGCTGCCGGGTTGCCAGACGGCGCACCGGCTATTTCCACTTTTGACACACCATTGATATGGACCCAAAAACAATCGGTGCACACATCAGTACCTATACACACAGACACACACAGACATACAAACACATATAATTGACCTTGACCTAACTTGATCTGAAATGACCTCAGCAGCAAAATTCTGGTCGGATAGTGTGACAAAGAGGTTCTAGCTGGCTTGGCACCAGGAAACAGCATCGTCATCGGTATTTGATAAGCAGCGCACTTGATATCCAACGGTGACCCAAAACAGCAACATTTTTTAGTTTGACCTGACCTGGAAGGTCAATGACTGACCTGAGAAGGTAAAACTGGGTATCATTGGATTCGTCTCTTCCCAAAAAATCTTTTTGGTCTTTACTGCTAAGCTCTATCTCCAACAGGAACGAAATGGCGCGGGGGGGTGGCCCCATGCGCGTTCTAGGATGGGAAAATGGCATGTGCGGGCGAGGGTTAAGCTATCGAGTCGGAAAGGCCACCAATGGACTCACGAAGACCTTTCGAATCGAATGATATGCGACATAACCTATTTCGACCAACTTCGTGACCTGCAGGGTGCTGACCTGACCTTGACCTGAGGTCAACACCCTAAGTTGACCTGACCCGAACAAAAAGTATATCATTCGACGCGCCTGAGCGAGGCGAGCACGATGCTGCCAAAATCGGGGCACTGCGGCCGTTTTTTGCGAAGTTATTCACCAAAAACGGAACCGTACCTTGGGGCACTTGACCTGACCTCAGAGGTCACCGGTTGACCTAGGACCTTAAAATCGGGTACCAATCTCTGCGCTAGCTCCATCAGTGGCGAAACAGCGAGGGGGGTCGTACCCGACCCCCCCCCCTCGGCCGGCGCGTATGTAGAAAACCAATATGTAGGTCCGGCGAGGGTTAAGGAAGGTCACGAATCTGATTCTGACCTGACCTCAGCACACAGACGCAACAGTTCTGAGACATAGGTACTTACCTACAATTTGCGCATACTGGTAGGTACCCTATTAACCCGGCACCGCCTGGGCTATTTCCGTACCCACGACAGCCTGGGGGGGGGTCGGATCCGACCCCCCCCCCCCTGTTATCTCGAGAACCAATGGTCGCATCGAGCCCCGCGAGGCGGCGTTCGAAAGGTCTCTACGAGACCTTCCCAGAGCACTCTTAAGATTTTAAGATTGAGGTCAACTTTCGGGTCAAGGTCAGGTCAAAGGTCAAATTCTGGGGTTTTGCATGATTAGGCTTACGGACAGCGGAATCGATAGCTGCTGCTCGAAACTCACCAAAAATGACCTCAAAGGCCTAGTGAAGATACCATGTGCGTATAGGGGTCATACTAAGTACGGGTCAAGGTCAGGTCAGGTCACGAAAGGTCACGGTTTTCACTTTCTGCTACATGGGGGTGCGACACATGTTTTATGGCTTATTTTTCACGCCGAATCCGATGGTAATGGTTATATGTGACCCCAAGTCACTGTGCTGGTGATAAATGTGCATTAAAAGCATAACAAAATCGTTTATACCATACGAGGGCTGAGAAAAAAGGTCAATTTTTCAACTTTCTATTTTTGACATAAAAATGCACTTTTCTAGACGAGCTTTGTCCCAGGAATCTACAGGGTGTAACGAAATTATCCGGACATCTATTTTTTCGCCATATCTGCTCGCACAGTTTCTTCTTTAATGTGAGAAGCTGGAAAATCAGATGAATGCATACCTCTGGTATCTGCTCTCAACTCAGCAGTGACCTGACGTTGCGAAATGACTCTTGCTCTGAGTAAGAGTCGAGTCGCCGACGGGTTCATTTGATAGTTTTCGTTTAAGGCAGTGGAGAGAAGGGAGTACAGTCTCTCGTTTCGTAGTAAGGCTACGTGTTGGTGGCATGGTGGCATGAGTCAGAAGCTGGTCTGTCAGCAGCTGGACATCAGCAGCAGCCAGTAGCACATCTGCCTGAGGCGTAATAAGATGGGACTTGGTGGCAGAGTCAGCCCGGCCTCGATCGCAAAAGGTGCCCTTTGCCAAGTGGTGAGGAGAGTTGTCAAGATAGCGACAAGGAAAGGGTACCAATTAATCCACAAACTGACTCGAATTCTTACCAAGGCAGATAATAAGAGGTCCCATATCATGATTCACCGTTACCCGCCCTTTAGCTTGGTTTTACTACCCTTCAAACTGAAAAAGACAATGGAATCGACGGGAAAACAACCAGTCCACCACCTTTGGCCTCAGGTCAGGGCGTGTCCACTGGTCGAAGGAAGACATGAATGAGATGGCCTGGTCGGATGGGAATCTGTTCGAGCTGCGATATCCGTTGAGCCGTCAAATCGGCCATGTGTGGGCTGCCAGCAGCTCGAATGTGCCGGCCGTCGCCGGCGTCAAACATCCGGGCAAAATCCAGACCTGGAGCATGTTCAGCTGCTGTGTAATATTCAAGTTGCTCATGACGACACAGAAAACCACTATCAGTGACGAGTATTACCTGCGCAACATCCTGGCTAGCGATTGGTTGGAGCCACTCAACCAGACGGCACAAGAGGGCTCGGTTTCTGAACGTGTACCGATGCCTGATTCAAGCCGCGCAGTCTTCATGCGGGGCGGCGCACCACCTTCAAGTCCCTAGCAGAATGAGAAGTGATGCCGAGAGGACCTATTTTTCTTCTGGGCTAAAGGGCTATGGCTTTGGAAATAGTTCCCATGCAATTCCATCGATATCTTATGGACTATATTGTCCAGCAGGAATGAATGAGGGGACACCTGCCACCAGCGCCGCCCAACTGTGGGCACAGGTTAGTAAGGCGCTACTCTATATGAAACCCACTGTGCTGGAAAACCCAGTGGCGGGAATGCTCCAAAAATTTGTAGGTACCTGCGCTTTTATGAAAGGTGGCTATTTAATAATTCAAAAGGGAAAATATCAGATTGGCTTGCTTCTTAATTACAGCGCGAAGAAAGATGTCCGGATAATTTCGTTACACCCTGTAGTGGTGCCATTTGTTTTCACATGCGATGTTCACTGTTCAGAAGTGCCTCTAATTCACGAAAATGCTTATGACGTCACCATGCCCTATGCATGTTGGAGCTATTTTTTACAATTTGGGGGTCAAAAATCAAGATAGAAAGTTGAAATTTGGGACATCTAATGTTCTAATAGAGCTCTATAACATATATTCCGGTTTTTTGGATATTCTCAAAATTTTGGATTTTATTAGCTGTTTTCCAAAAAATGTAGTTTTTTGAATTTTTAGGGGTGAAAACGCATTTTAAAGAAAATCCGAGATGGCCATTTTAAAGAACTCGTTGAGCTGCGTCTTTTTATGTCCTTAATTTTCAATTTGCTTTAAACCCTGATTTTTGGCGATTTTTTAAACATTTACCACTTTTTGACCAAAGACGCCGTGTAGTTACATCACTAAAATCGATATATCTCAAAATATTTTGGAAATTTTTTCTTAAAAATTACACAGAAGACGTCAAATTGATGGGGGAGAAGGTATGCCAAGTTTCAAGTTGATAGCGTAAGCGGTTCTTGAGTTATTCAAGAAAAACGAAGGGGGGGGGTCGGATCCGACCCCCCCCCCCAGGCGGTCGCGGGTTAAAAACCCGAGAAGAGGAAATTGCTCCCTGAAAAACTTTTTCTGGCACTGCCGACTTTTGGTCCCATTCTTTCCATGCAACATAGGGCTAATGTTGAAATACCAAAATCAAGGGGGCGGGGGGGGGGGGCACGTTGCCTCGGTGCTCTCCCCGTTCCGCCACCATGGTAGGGCTCAGGCCCTACCAAGTCCATACAAAACGACACTAATGGGCATTTGCCCCAAATGCTCCTCCTGGATCGGCCAGTGTCGCCATCGGACTTGTCTGTACTCTGGTGTGGCCGGGCCCAGGCCCTGGGGTTGGGTACCGCCAGGCGCCAGGGCCAGCCCAGAGATTAGGGAAGGCAACGTGAGGCAGGATGCCGGTCGGCTGATCCTGAGGAAGGCATGAATGGGTGACGTTTGTTTGTTTGTTTGTTTTGTTGGGTTAGACTCTCTCGGTCCAATGAGACCATTTCAGAGCCGGGAGGATGATAGGATATGGGGGAGACATTGGTCTGGGCAGGCACCCTAGTGAGTCGCCGGGGCTGAGCCCGTCCAGAGGACAGGCCACCCAGCCCCAAGGCACTCACTGCACCCGGCTACGGGGTGCGCTCCCTCGGGAGCAGCGGTGCCGCTCCAAGGGAGCAGCCCGCATGAGATAAAGTTGCCTGTCCAGCCCGGAGGGGGTTGCGGCGTGGAGGAGAAGGATTTCAGTATCCTGAGGATAGAAGCACGGAACGGTGATGATGATGGGTGACGATGATGGTGTTGAGTGGATATCACTAGTGCCCGTCCCCTATGCCACCCCCATGCTTAGCGCTTCGGTATGACGCTGACCGTATCACAGTGTATGACCGTATAACCCGCTGACCTCTGGCGAACACATCTTCAACTTCAGCTTCTCTTTGCCGTCGCCAGACATCAGAGTCTAGTGACGTCAGTTTTACGCATGTCTTACTCCTGACGCTGGACATTTGGAATGTTGTTCTATACATACTCTGTTTGTAACCACTACCCTGCTCAATTGAATCCATTGATGAAAAATAAGCTTAAATGTATGAAATGAACATCATGAAATGCTCCAACTAACTATCTAGATTCTAGGCAAAGATTGAGATATCCGGAGGAAAATTTATTTTTACGTCATCAAACAGAGTTTTGCTCACTAAGTCTGAAAATGGCTTCATATTTGCTATCCTTGCTATCATTGTTAATATTGTTTATGGTGGTGTGTGTTTTGTGCGCTTGGTCGGCCATTGATAATCGGATTGTTACTGTTCGTTGCAATGGATTTTTGTTCAATTGACCACATAAGCTTATGACTTTGCACAAGGATATATTGACAAAACATCGAAGATGCTGAAGCTAGCGCTGTTTTGCCTAGCATGCAGTCTGGCGCGACTATGCGCTGAATCTGTCTCAGTGGGTGATAATGAAGAAGGTAAGAGATTCCTGATTTTCTTTTTCATGTTTAATGTCTGTATTTATTATGTATATTTCTAAACATCTGAATTGGTAGACCTATAATTTTTAGAAAGGTGATATATAATTGTGTGGGGCTCTTCTGTCCAACGCGACCCTGAAATTCACGGCTTTCAGAATCAGTTAGGCTAAACAGTGATAAAAATTGGCACATTCGCGAGGTGTGATAGTAAGGTGGGATAATTTGAGGTTCAGCAAGTGGAGGGTGGTTGTAATTAGGTTTGTTCAGGTCGTTTTACACATTATTGCTGGAAATGTTGTGTATGGATATTGCACTTTATGATCTTATCGGAAATCACACTTTTTCTAACTTGGTGATATTTCTGTTGTCATTTGTGGGTACACAGGTACCTTATTGATTGTTTGAGTTTACCAGATAATGGACGCAAAAGCAGAAGAGAGTGCAGCAGCCAGCAAATAACCCCAGAAACATCTATACTTTTAAAATGCACCAATTACAGTCTACTTCTTGTAAATCTTAATCAGTCCCCTAGTACTTACTTAAGCTAAAACTCCTTTCTCTGTTATATAGAGTACTTTCTTCCTTATTTATAACTATCAAGCTTTCTTCCCCATCAGCAAGCTAGCATTTTTCATTTATGAATTTCAGAGATAAAGGGCTTGTATCTGAATTTCCCTTGCCCTTTGGATCTGTTGGTACACCCATCATCATGCTGATTTAACTAAAACCGTTCTCTCTGTATCATGTTTCATCTGGTGAATCGCTACCTGTTGCATCTGGATCTGGTGTTTTTCCTTTATGTTTTTGTAACATGAATAGACAGCATATACAATCTATATTATGAATTATAAGATGTCTGTACGATCTCCATCCGTGTGTCATGACTTATGTGTCTTATTGCGCCTGAAAGGCGCCGCGTATCGGCGTGAAATTTGGCATGCCGAATCTGTGGGCGTGGGCGGCCTTTGTATTAAAATTTGGGCGTGATCGGACCAGGGGTGCGCCGTCGGCACGTGCAAAAGGGCGCTCTCATAGGGATAGCATGGTGTCGGCGAGAGCGGCGGTCGGCCGAAAATCGGGCCGACACGGCTCGCTTTCCGGCTTGATATCTCGGCAACGGGTGATTGCAGCGAGAAGCGGTTGCCACCACTGGATAGAGGAGAGATGGAACTAGCATATTGATATGGTTTCATAGCATAGCACGCGACACGTGCTAGGTAAAACCCCCGGTTGTGAAAAATGACCGATTTCGTGCATTGTGGGAAGAAAATTGATGCAGCTGGAAAACGGTTTGACGGAATGAAATCGGTGTGGTACCATTTTGCAGGTAAATGTACGTGTAATCAGAGAATAGCAAACAAAAAGTGATGATCCGTACCATTTCCTTAATAATGAAAAATTAATTTGAAAATTTATTTCGCGCGGAGCGCGGTGTCCTTTACAACATCAAAACGTATTGAAAACGCTGATCAATGGCCATGAAACCTACATATTCGGAAAGAGCATTCTTTTCTGACCAATATCCACCCAAAATATTATCGAAAAGTCAATAAACTTTTGTGAAAATGACTCAAACATACGACCGTGTTTTGTTAACGTTACAGGTATTTTTCGACAAAATCCGATCGATGGCTTATGGCCGGCAGGCGGCAGGTCATACAACTTTTGACAATACTCGTAGCTATCAAAGCATGGGCTGCAATGCACCGCCCGCAAAGGGGAATTCCAAACACTGAAAATAAGCGCCTACCAGTAAACAGCACATTTTTGTACTAGGAATAACTCAGCTGCTACTGGGCCGATTGAGCTAAAACTTGGACTGCGGGTGGAGGGGGCACTCACCTGGCGATGCATGGTCATGTGTGACAGGTAGGGTGGATCGATTGCACGTGCGCACGTGAGGGGTCCACTTATACATCTCAAGAACGGCTGGGCCGATTTCGCTCAAATTTTGTACACTGTTGGGGACAATTTAGAAAGGTGGCTGGCACAAGTAATCTGGAGTCTCAGCTAGCGCGTGCGCACGTGCAGTGGGCCAGTTTTATATCTCAAGAACGGCTGGGCCGATTGCGCTCAAATTTGGTACGTTACTTTAATCGAGTTTGAGAAGGGTAACTATTTGTAGGTTATGAGTAAGGAAGGGTATGGGTAGGGTAGGGTGGGTTTGAGTTCGATAAAGGCAAACCATGAGAAAGGCTCTAACAACCCGCAACCAGCACCAGCATACCATGCCGTTCAAACAAATATCCAACTCCGACAAAATAACACAAATTAAAATCATAAGTTCCCACACCCAAACTAATGCCCCATCAAATGCATCTATCAAAACGCACAGTTATAGCGCAAAATATGCCATCTAGTATGTTATCATGTCATGGTGGAGCAAGACTGTAACATCATCAGACTTTTGATTCAATTGTTTAGCTTCACCCTGCAGTCTGCACTATAAGGTTTATCTTTTCTTGATTGCACCCTTTGTTTTTGTGCTTTGACTGGGACATAGCTTGAATTGGTTTATTTGGATAAGGAAAAGGTGTTCAAAAAATTTGGTATGAGTACATACCTCAGTATGCACTTCTGCCTTTCCTCCATATCATATGTTATTGTTTATTTTTAAGCTACTCTTGTGGCAACATATTTTTAGCCTACGTCTTATGTCAGGTTATGTTTCTTATTTTGCTATTAAAACTGTTGACCTATAAGTAGGCATCTTTGTGCCTCCAAACCCCAGCACTTTAGTATGGTAAATGGTTAGAGTTGATGATGAGCATATGAGCATAACCTTAAAAGTTGAATGTTAAAATGTTAAAAAACATACATAAATTGGACACAAGCAGCAAAAGTCATTATTATTTTCATCATTATCATCATTACCATTATTTAGGTCCCCTACCTCTGCCTCCTCTCTGAAGCAAGGTCTTGCTGTCGGCTCCCTCCCCTGGCATGGCCCGATCTAACCTCCTCCCCCCGCGCCCCATGTGCTCGCGCAGTGCGGTGCCCGCCGCCGGCTGTGGCGCACGGCCGGCTGCTGCAGCTGCAGGCCGTCTACCGGCCCGGCGACGACGCGCGGATCGTCTGCCGCGAGGGATACCACCTGGACGGTCCCGAGCGGGTGACGTGCGACTCGGAGGGACGCTGGCGCAGCGAGCTGCACCCGGACCCGCACCGCCTGCCCCAGTGCACTAGTGAGCAATCGGCGGTGGAACGGGAGCGGGAGCGGGGAGAATGCATGGGAAGGAGAGGAAAATGTCGCTCTATATACAAACAGTCATGGCCGGATGTACGCATTAAGCTCCGATTTTTTTTTATTTTTTATTAGATGAAAATAAGTTTGTGACCTGCAGCTGCTGCATGAGTGTTACTGGGTGGCTGGTGTTGAAGCTCGGATTGGCTTACAATGTGCGCTGTTGGAAGAGTTTGCTAGGTGTTTGAACTTTCAACTGACCTGGGAGGATGCAGTTATTTGATGTTGACTTTCAGTACACTTCTGTGGAGAAGCCAAAGGCAGATCGTGGATATGCAAAATGGGTTATCACTTATCAACTAACCATATTCATGGTAAGGGACCATTGACTACACACTGCCAGTTCATATTTTGGAAATCTTTGTCTTTCATTGAATTATTAACTTTCCCCGAAAATTGTATGCCGATCTGAGTAACACTTCCCGTCTATGTGCCCGCAGAGGTGACCTGTCCCAAGCCGCCGCCGCTGAAGGCCGGCCGATGGGAGGTGGAGGGTCTGCGCGCCGCGGACGGCACGCGCTTCATTCAGGGCTCCATGGTCATCTACCGGTGCGATGAGGACTTTGAGCTGCGGACAGCCGGTGGCGCGGAGCAGCGCACTGTACAGCGCGTCTGCGTCAACGGCCACTGGCTGGGAGAGGAGGCTGTGTGCGGTGAGTGGAAGGTGTATGCTGGGGAAAATGGATTTTTAAGGTGATTTTGTTTGATTTTGTAAGGTTTGACTTTTAAAGGTGATTCTCATAGAAATGTTGGCGTTTATTTATAAACATATCATTGGTGACCTGTACAATGTACACAATGTATTGCTTAACAAAAATGCTGTTTTTATGATGGAGTGATATTATATGATGCTTTGAAACCAACCGTGGCGTTGTTGTTGATGTAAGTTATTCGTCGCTCGTCGTTTCGTTGTGCTGTGTCACGACCGCTGCATGTGATGCATAAAATTAACATGCTTTACAGTCAGCAAGGACATTGCACAGATCAACGACGGTCGTTTCATATGACTGACGACAGCACGCTCACCAGTATACCCCTTCTGTCAATATGCTAATCGCTCCCCTTCCCCTCCCCAGCACGGACCGTGTGCGGTCCACCGCCGTCGGCCAACCAGGGCTACTTCATGGAGCTGCTCAGTGACGGATCAGCCGTCCTACCTCACCGCGACGAGTACCCTGTCGGCGCACGGGCCGTCTACCGCTGTAATCCGGCTCACGTTCTGGTTGGCACCGATACATACCAGTGTATGAGCGGCGGTGAATGGTCTCCGCCCGTGGCGCCTGGCTGCCGCGCTGAGCAGCCGGACGAGCCCCTGCCGTCTCCGGCGTGCGGCCTGCCCGAGCGGCAGCCGCTTACCACCCAACGACTGGTGCGCGGGTGGCTCTCAGATGTTGGCGCGTCGGCCGGCGCCGTGGTCGAGTACGCGTGCACGGAGGGGACGCGGGACCGGGTATCGCCGTGTCTGCCGCAGCGGCTGACCTGTTATAGCGGGCGGTGGGTGGGCCGCCGGCCGCGCTGCCAGCCGGTGGCCAGCTGCGTCTCGCCGCCAGCCGTGCCGTTTGGAGAGGCGTATGGAGGCGGCCGCTCGCCGGGCGCAGAGGTGTTCTACACCTGTCAGCCCGGGTACCGCCTGCTCGGCCCGCGCCGGCTGACCTGTGACGCCGGTGGCTGCTGGACACCGAACCGCATGGCCCCGGCGTGTGAACGACAGCCGGCGCCGGCCGCCGCCGAGCCTCCTCCGCTCCTCTCGCCCATCGGCGTCACTCTGCTGGCGGTCACGGTGGCCGTGGTGCTGCTGCTCGTGCTGCTGCTGGTGCTGCTGCTGCAGCGCCGCGCCTGGAAGCCGCTGCGCCGGCCGCCGCCGACCCCGCCGCCGCCCGGGCCGCGGCGCACGGAGGACGCGGACCGGGTGGCCCTCATCGCCTACCAGGAGGGGTCGGGGTCGCAGGTGAGACGGTGCGGTGTGGGCACTCGAGTGGGGTGTGCTACCGTGGGTGGCATGGGGAATTTGGTTTTGAATAGCACGAAAAGCAGGTTCAAACCAAATAACCGCAGCTGTAGCTCTTTCTGATATTGAATTAGATTTGTCTCAAATTTCAATCAGTCCATGGCTTTTCCTTCTTACTTTTGACCACTTGATTCCACCCGGTGCTGCTTACCAGCTAGCTTTGCTATTCGATTGTTTTAGACGACTTATGTCTTATCTGTGTACTCGCTGGTTGTCGTCTGCGGCTGATCTGACGCTGGCCACCTGATCACACCACCCGACCTTGGCAATTGGTGCCCCGTCGCTCACCTCCCCTCTCCCTCCCTGCAGTTCGTCCTGCCAACCTACGAGGAGGCGGTGCGCTCGGAGCGCGCCCCTCCTCCCCACTCCGAGCACGGAGCCAGTGGTCTGACGGGCGCCCAGCTGGCAGCGCGGTTCCACCACCACCACCGCAGCCTGCCGCCGGCCTCCCGCCGGGAGCGACTCTGGCGGCGGGAGCAGGAGTCAGACTCGGTGTCACAGCGCTCTGTGCAGAGCCATCACTCGGCCTCCAGACACAGCAATACGTGAGTCAGGGGGTGGGACTATGGTGGGGATGGGTTGGATGGGAGTGGCGATTGGTGCAGTAAGACTGGAGTTAGGACCTTTCCTGTATTCGTTTCACTTTAACACAGGGAACGTTGTGATGACACACTCACTCATTCAGTCAGTGCTTTGGTTTTGCACCAAATATTTCGCCCCATAGAACCTCGAACTCGCCATTCATTTCATACAAAGCACTCGTGCGTTCTTGTGATAATATGAATTGAATGGATCATTCCAGTCAGCAGCTGATGCTTGTGAACCGAATACAAAACTAGCCTAACTCTTCCTTCCTATGTGATCGTGTCCCCTGATGTTCAACACTAGTCACCCTTGACCGGCCACGTCAGGCGTCCCCTGAGCTCCGTCCCTCCCTAACCTCCCCTCCTCTCGTTCTCAGGACCTCCAACGCCACGCCGTCCCTACTGGACAGCATGGGCTCCACGGATACAATGGCCACCAGTGACGCGGCCTCCAACACGCTGAGCGCGGCGGCTACGGCCAGTGTGCGCGGCATGTGCGGCAGCCTGGCCTCGTTCGACACCTCGTCCGTGCTCAATACTGAAGGTAGGTGCTTGACAGTGCATAGCATATTTTGATGACGTGTGAGGCCACCCATGTGATGCAGACGTGTCCTTATAGCTCTGTTGTTAGTACAGGAGGTAATTGTACTTACATCGGAATTAGTCAGCTTGAGTTTTGGCAAAAGAAATAGGCGTGTGTGGTGTCTGAGATGGGTGAGAACCTGTGGTGTTCAGTTATCAGTATGTCACCGAATGCATAAACTCATCACAGTCTCGTCATTTGGACATGACACTAACCTGTTTCAGTCGTTGCCATGTCCAGCTCATCTCCTAATCGGGAGTCTGACAATCATTTAATATAAACCAAACCGAAATATTAACCCGCGCCCCGTAGGGGGGGGGGGGGCGAAACGGCCCCCCTGACCTTTTCCGTCGATATCTCCTAAACGGCTGGAGATATCGCCACCAAACTTTCAGGACCCCTCCGGGCATCAATTTTACACATTGTGGCCAAACATTTTTCCAGTGGCTATGATAGGTTGGCCACAAATGACGTCAGAATGACGTCATGTTCTGCAATTTTCTACCGAAAAAAGACCTTCGCGAGAAGAGCTGTCAGGCCTACAGCTTTGAAGATACAGAAAAATGATCAAGACATAAAAGGTGTAGAATTGACAGGGCTACAAAACTGCTTTCTCGGATTTTGGAAATTTTTGAGTTTTGACCCCCAGAAATCAAAAATGCAATTTATTTGGATATTTTAGCCAAAAAAGAATTCAATTTTTTTTTTAGTTTCGAAAAAACGAAATATATGTGATAGTACCTACCGTCTTCTATCTACATACCAAATTTCAGATCGATATCTCCTTTTTTGGCGAAGTTATAGCGAAAAAACTGTTCAAAAATGATGACGTCAAATTTTCAAACTCAATTTTTGGCAATTTTAGACCACGTAGGGCAAAACAAAGACCACCATTGGACTCCCCGTGACGAGCTGCATCGAATGGATACCCATTTTATGCAAAATACAAACTTTGAAATTTGACCTAATTTGACCTGACCTTGACCTGACCTTGTCTTGAACTTCACCGGAACATAATCTGAACTGACCCCAAAGGCTGCCTGACCCACATAATCGCATTTGTCATGTAAAATGGACCATAAAACATGTATCACACGACACTTTCATATTGTGACCCCCAGTGACCTGACCTCTGTGACCTGACCTGGTAGCAGTGACCTCAGATAGCGAAGTATGTGCTTGACGAACAATGTACCATCGATGGTTTTCAATAACTTACCAATTTACTCGATTTCACAACACATTTCTTGAAATGCCTGTGAACGGTGAAAATCTAACCTTTGACCTGACCTGTGACGTCATCGGTTTGACCTAGGTCAATGAAATTTGGTCACATGGTAGTTCCCCGGTGGGGCTATCGAACGCCGTTTGAATTTTGAAAATCGGCCGGTAAATTTCCGAGATCTTAGGGGGGCCGAAACGCCTCCCCCCCCCCCTACGGGTGGTAGGGTCCGCCGGTAGCCCTACGGGGCGCGGGTTAACCAAAAGTCCAAAAATAAAATATAAAAACAGGTAGCGCTGGGTGGATTGAAATGAGAGAAAAATATTACCCGTACTTTTTAAAGGCGCACTTAAAAATTTTATCGATGCAGGGGAAATCCTTTTATATTGCTTTACAACCAGAGCGGGTTGGGTTCTTACCAAGATAACTGTTACATTTACTTTTCTGCTAGCTTGAGCCCCTCGTCCGCTACCATGTATTAACCCGCGCCCGGCTGGGGGTCCTGGATTTCCACGCCCTGCTGGGGGGGGGTGTTTGAACACCCCCCCCTTGTAACTCGGCTCCTGGGCCACGTAGCGATACGCGGAAGGCGGCGTTCGAAAGAGCGTCAAAAATAATGACGAAATCACTTCGGTCAATTTTTTGGTCAGGTCAAAGGTCAGGTCACCAGAGGTCATTGAAGGCAAAATTTCGCCGATTTCCAGGTCGAATATCGAAAATTTCCAAGAAGCCAACGCATAACTCGGGAACCAATAGAGCTACAGCGCCGCGGAAAAGCGCATTCGATAGCCCTATTAACGCCCTTTCTGAGTAATTCTCTCAGATTTGACCTAACGTCAACGGTTTTGCCTGCAGGGGGCAAAAACTGCAAAAATAGCCGATTTTTTTCGGGAACAGTTTTTCGGCAATAACTTTTGACCCAAGCCTTGTACGAGCTTACTTTTACCGGCATCGTGTTCCTCTCGTCAAGACGCATCGAATGAACTATAACTTGACCTTGAAAGGTCAACTTGAAAATTTGACCTCAGGTCAAGGTCATGACCTGACCGGAAAGGGTCATGTTGCATATCAGTCGATCCGTATCGTCGAGCTGAACACATCTAAGGCGTTTTCATCGCTCTAGCATGCCTCTATCAAAAGTTATTTGCGAAAAACTGTTAGATACCATTCGTGACCTAAGATGACCTCAGGGCATAAACAAGGGTCACGGACACCATTTTCATGTTCAGTGTGTCTAAACCACTTGTAATTCAGTGTTTGGGAGTGTTTATAATGTCTTCCGTCCAAAAGAGGCGCATTTCAATTTTCTCCCATTGACTTATAATGGGGAGGTCGCAAAATTGACCTGACCTTAGGTCACCGATATCAAAATTCCGAGATATACATTTTATAGATACTGTTACCCTTATCAATCGCTGAAAGTTTCAAAGCGATCGGTCACTCGGTGTAACTATGACAGACATTGAAACTTTTTATGAGGTGAGGTCACTTCAAGTAACCTGGTGACCTGACCTTGAATGACCTTGGTCTGAAATTTTCACAACATGTGTAGAATTGATGTATAATAAGGTGTACCAAAAACGGCGGCGCGGAGCGCCGCCGTTTTTGAGATATTCGCGAAAAAACACAAGGGGGGGTGTTCAAACACCCCCCCCCCCCAGCAGGGCGCGGGTTAATAGCTCTGGCCTTCCCAGTTGTAAATAAATTGCTGCAATTTAACTTACTATTTATGGCGTTTGCTAATGGTAACCCGATTCTGTGTCTGACTGTTTTTTATTAATCGAGAGCCAGTTGCGCTTCTAAATTGACGTCCTATATTTGTTTTACTCATCGTTGTAAGCTGAAACTGACTTTTGAATTCATGCAACATCCTAGCTTGATGCAGTAACATACCATTTACCAGATCTGGGCCAGACTGCTCGTGAATTCATACTGCTTCCCATATTTTCTTTTCTGTGTGAGATATCACCATGTTAACGTATCTTTTTCTCTGTCAGGTGAACCCCTGCTGGAGGAGAATGAGACAGAGCTGGAGGGCGCCGAACAAGACGACTCCCAGTCCTGCGGCAAATCTTCCTCCGCCGGGGACACCACTTCCAACAAGTAAACTGCGCTGTCAAAGCGGAGTGGCATCACCCTCATCGAGCGGATAGTGGTAGCTCCTCAGAGCGAAGAGCCCCAGACGGTCGAGATTCAGTAGACTGAGCTGTCGGTCCCCGCGGCAGAGTGGTCGCCGGCGGACCAACGGGCGCCCAGCTATCGCTAAGTCTCTGTGCGAAGAGACAGCCGTGTATGGCGACGAGCTGACAGTTGCAGCTCGGTCACCGTCGGATTGTGTGCGAACAGGATCTGATGGCAGACGAGGCTGGTGTACAGAACTTGCCGCCGTGACTGATGCGACGACGCGCAGCTTTAACGAGATTATCGTCAGATCAAACTGCGCAGCTGTGCCGCTCGCGCCGCCGTGTCGCGTCGCACCGACTGCAGCTGGAGCTGCGCGATATGAACTGATGCGTAGTGGACGAGTGACGCACTGGACGCGAGCTGTGTCTGTGAGAGGTGGCGACGACGGTGGGCTGGGGCGGTACCATGCCACGTAGGCGTGTTGGGAGCGCAGCAGTGCCCCGCCCACTCAGCTTCAGTGGTGCACACACGCGGCAGCGCCCCCTGAGACTCACTGCTTATCGTCGGTCTGTCCCCTCGGTGGTCGCTGGAAGCGTAAAGTTAAACACATGTCTGCGATACTAGTCTATGTCAATCTTCTTCAGTGCGTTAAAACGTCGAAATGGTTTTATAGGTGCCGTGACATACCTGGTGAATCAAACGCTATAATGTCCTCAGACTGCGTCGCCACGAATATTTGCGTTGGCTATGTATTCAGTCTGAATTGTCAGGCAGTCGTGAACATATTTTGACTTCATTGTTTTTTCGTGTTTGCTACAAACTTTTTTCGTAGTTGTGCTCTGTGCCTTTTGCGCGACAGCATGTTTACACTCCACGTTTTTGTCAATTTCTGGTGCGCCTGTCTATTCGCAGGCCTTGTTTTGTTCCAGTTCGGCAGCGGAAGCGGAGGCCCGCCTGCGCGCCGCTCCGTTCAGACGTTCTGGCCCTCCGGTTTAGGAGAGCGGCCTCTGGTGATCTGTTCAGTATGTGTTGGCGAGGCTGCCGGCAGTGCGGGCTGCTCTGTGATTGGTTGAGCGCCCGCCAGCTCGTACCGCGGTCTGTTGTCGGTAGTTGCGAGCCCCGGCCTTTGCACGGCCCCCGTTCCGCTGTTGTTGTCATTAGACCTCTAATAAATATGCCAGGAAGCCGAAACGCGAGTGTGGTAAGACGGCCAGGTTCGATGCGTGTTCATTGGGTTCAAAATTGAAACCAGCCAAGGTTTTGCTGACTTCTATCGACTTATCGTAGGAGATATTGATATAGTTATTTTTTAACACAATTTTCATGCTCATATTGCTTGGTGTTTACCATTTATAGTCTTATCCTGCCAATCTAGCCCAGACATTCATAGCTCATCATCGTTTTGAACAAACTCCTGGTTGATAATCGAGAACGATGTAATCCTGCAGTCTTAGTTTTCCGGCGTTCAAGGTCAACACATGTGGCTACGAGGGACTATAAAACTTTTAAGTGATAGAATAGCACGTCAGTACTCGCTACTCAGTCCCAGTCTTCACATAAGCATTCGGGGAGCGTTTTTCAAGATGTCCACATTCAGGGGAACTGGGAAGATCCTCTCCTGCTATCTCAACATTGGTAACAGATACTCCGCCTGTTACGGTGAGGACACACTTACCAAAACCCACCATCCCTAGTCGTCTGTGTGTTGTCGAGCCGCCTCATGGATGACGTCACCATTATAGTGACGTCGCCTCCAGTCGGTGTGACCCGCCTTCTGGGGCGGAGCTTCTGGAGTTCCTTCGATCGCAGCCATCGACTGGAGTCAGCTGGCTCTCCGGCGTCGCGCGCAGCGTCGCAATCGATGCCGTTTTGCGCGAGTCCTGCGCTCCGTTAGCCGCATTATACTGGGAGAGGACGGAGACGAAGAGACGCAGCCATGGCAGTCAGAGGTGAGTGGGGGCTGCGTGTGTTCAGAATAGTATGTCTTAGTTGGTCAGATGTAGACATGTAGGCCGATATTGCTGCGCAATAGCCTACTGGCATTGGCAAAAACTCTAGGTAGGTAGAATAGAATGTTTCGCGGGTATGAGCTTCTTTGAATTTGTTTGCATTCGATGTTTTTCTAAAAAGATACACTTGATTCATGGCCAGAAGGTCAATGATCATTTATTTTTGAAGCCTAAACTCCGATGTTGTACCTCTCACCTCGTTTCTCTGACGCACACACACATGGTCGAACTTACGACTCGCGATGAGCCGTGCGGCACAGCCTACATTCGCAGGCGCTTACTGCTGCTGCCATCTAGGGACAGGAAATCGCAGCATACGCTCGCAGTAGCGGGCGCCCGTCACGAAATCGCTGCTCTATGAAATCAGTTATAAATAGAGCTGAACTTGTGTTGCTCTGAATGGTGTTCTTCGGAACAGTCCGGCTTGAATGTCAAATAACGTTTCGACTCTGCTCATTGGCGGCTTTTTATATTTGCCTCACAACGCGCGTCACGCAGGCTGGATGCTCCCATTGCATATAGGTACATTGCATTATGCATTGCAAACAAACACTCCGTGCAATGCCGATAGCTTTGACAGCAAACTTAGGTAACCGAACATTTGGGAATAGAGGATTGTCACCAAAAATAACGTATCTTTTTACCGCTCTGGTCGCTCAAGGTATACCTATCATGTTCTAATCGTTCAAGTTTATAAGTAAGATAGGTAAACCCCCTCTGATTTCATGAGGTTTCCAATAATTTATCACTGAAATGAATTTGCTTTCCGCCTATTTCATGTCATGTTTACGTACATTTCGAACGTTTTTCCACCTCGGTTCTGACAGCCCCTGAACAATTATTTTGTTTTGCTCGGTGAGAGCCTTACGGCAACTCTCATTTCATTATTTACCTCAGCCCATAAATAAGTTAAATAAATATGCCGATTACAAATGGATCCCCGGCCGCTGCTCATTACAACATCCTTTTGTTATTGTATTGCGCCGTGCGCACTGTTTCTTCGCCTTTTGTATCTACCGTAATTGTCATTCTACACCGGTTATGTGACACAACCATCATCACCCTGTAGTCTGAGCATGGAGCACTTATAAGAGTCATGCCGCCACCATTGTCTGTTGGCTCGAATGACTCCTACGTAGCAGGCTTCGCTGGCTGTCTGGCAGGCTGGACCGGCCGTCTGGGTCAGCGGACGTCACGAACCATCGATCCTTGCAATTACAGTCTGCAGTGTTGGCAACATCGAGCGGCTCTCGATGGCGCCAGGCACACGGCCAACTGCGCACTGGAATGGGTATTGTGTGTCTGTGACCGGAATGGTGTTTTGTCAGGCGACTTTTGAGTGGAAAAGACGAACGGTCAATGGCGGAATGGTCACCAAAGTTTTACGTGGCTACAAGCTCCACGCTCGTATCGAGAACACGGTAGCAATATCGAATTATTTTTTCCTTGATTTATGACTTTTGAGATGAATCATAACGAAAATTTCCTCTTTATAGCATGTCAGATACTTTTTCTTTATCGGGACCTCACTTATGACCCCTCAAAAAATGATGCTCACCTCGCTGAGCGCGATGGCCAACTGACCGAGACCCTCTTCTTCCGTCTGTTTCAGACGCACTGCTGTTGCTTTCACTGATGGCCATAGTGGCCCAGGCCGTGAAGCTCCCAGCCCTGGAGCGCAAGACTGAGAGACAGGAGAGACGGTTTATGGAGCGGCACGGCCATCTTCGGACCACAGTGCAGCCACCAGCCCCTGCGCCTGACTCACAGTCTGGCAGTCTGGACAGAGCTCCGACAGCTAAACCGAGGATACTGGTGAACGGAGATACAGCGAAGGAGACAGAGAAGGTGGCTGGTCAACAACAGGAACAACAACAGGAACCGAAACAGGACCCAGAGCAGGGACAGGAGCCGCAGCCAGAAACGGAGCCGGAAAGAGAGAAGACGCCAGATAAATCGCCTCAAGAATCCAAGGTAAGTATTCGATAGGTTCGTGATCGGTGTTGCAGTGCACTTATCTTGTTTTGACATTTATTGCAAGATATTTATCGTTTTTACAATTATGCAAACCTGTATGTCTTCGTCTAGGATGTGACAAAGCATGCACTTGGCTAACATTATCTAGCTCCTCGATATAAAGTCCGTAGTGTAAGATAATTTTTGACCTCTCGCCAGCCCGAGGTGCCAACTGAAAACCAGGGAGTGGAGGGAGATGAGGTTCCCGCCGGATCTTCTAACCGTCAGATGGCGCCACAGACGCAGCAGGTCGACCAACCGAGCGTCATCGACTCGGATCAGGTAGGCGAAACGTCCTCCAGCGGTTAACAAATTATACCAGTTAACCCTCGCCCCGTTGGGGGGCCATTTTGGCCCCCCCCCCTGTGGTTTTTCCTGAATAGCAAGAAAACGGCGGCGCGCAACGCCGCCAAATTTTCAGTACCTTCCCTTCCCGGGAATCAATTTGACACCTTCACACCAAATTTCAAGTCTCAGGTCACCTTAAGTCAGGAGTTATTGAGGTCAAACTGAGGTCATGTTCGAGCAAAAATGAGCAAAAAACATGCAATCTTGAAACGCTCACCAAATCTACAGTTATCAAGCAATTTCAAAGTTCTTTATATGATCTAGTAGACAAAAAGCGGCGTTACAAAACTGTTATCTCGGATTTTCAAAATTTTGGGACTTTGACCCCAAAAAATTCAAAAAAATGATTTTTTTAAACTAAAAAATAATCCAAAATTTTTCGGAATTTAAAAAAGCGGAATATATGTGATAGTCCCTGCGCTCTTCTATACACATACCAAATTTCAGATCGATATCTCGTTTTTTGGCCAAGTTAGAGCGAAAATACTGTTCAAAAATGATGACATCAAATTTTTGAACTCAATTTTTAGCGATTCTAGACCACGTACGGCAAAACAAAGACCACCAATGAACTCCCCGTGACGAGCTGCATCGATTCGATACCCATTTTATGCAAAAATGTTAGCTTTGAAATTTGACCTAATTTGACCTGACCTTGACCTGACCTTGACCTGACCTTTACCTGACCTTGACCTGACCTGGACCAAAACGTGACCTAAGCTGGCCCCAAAGGCTGCCTGACCCACATAATCGCATTTGTCATGTAAAATGGACCATAAAACATGTATTACACGACACTTTCATATTGTAACCCCCCGTGACCTGACCTCTGTGACCTGACCTGGTATCAGTGACCTCAAATAGCAAAATATGTGTTTGAAGAGCAAGTACCCATCGATGATTTTCAATGAAATGCATTTTACTCGATTTTACAACGCATTTCTTGAAATGCCTGTAAACGGTGAAAATTGGACCTTTTACCTGACCTGTGACGTCATCGGTTTGACCTAGGTCAATAAAATTGGGTCACAAGGTAGTTCCCTGATAGGGCTACCCAAGTTCCAACACCGTTTGCCTCTTGTCGCTAGGTTGCGTGGTTCTCGAGATCTTAGGGGGGGGGGCAAAATGCCCCCCCCCCAACAGGGCGCGTTGCTCGGCAGAGCCCAACGGGGCGCGGGTTAACAATTTCCTATGTCTTATTTCAGATAAACAAGAATGCGGCAAAGGAAACCACAACCACACCAGGTAATGTTTCGGCTCTGAGTCGACGTCTGTTGTAGCCTTTATTCTAAGCCTTTTCACGAGCTGAAAAAATCGTTTTCACAGCACCTAAAAATCTCGTTCATGTTCAGTTCACCCCATATACGATATCGGTATGCAGACACTTTGACGCTGATTTATTTTCGGCAGAGGTGGTGACCTACCAGCCGGTACCGGACAACGCGTACGCTGTGTTCGACCACCACGGACGCATCTGTATCCTGGCCACCATCAACGCAGACCTGGAGATTGTCTACTACACAGAGTACGACGAACGAAAGGTTAGTTATGGTTACAAAGTCCGATTTCTGATAAAATATAGAACTGAATTACATATGCTTGATGGATAAACATTATGTACATTAAATATTGCTGGAGGGTGTTATTGTTATTTTCCAATGTGATATATCTCCTGAAATAATTTTTATATTTCATTTACCGACACCGCAATTGTAGTATGCTTATTATCCACCCTCGCATGTGTGCGCCGTTTGCCAGCTTCTAATGTGTAGGGGGGGGGGTCGGTTGGACCCCCCCTTGCCGTTTAGCCCCTGATCGAGCTAGAAAAAACGAGCGTGTTGCCCGTGACGAGAGGAAGCCGATGATACCCAATTTTAAGGTCCTAGGTCATTGGTTAGCCTTCCAGGTCAGGTCAATGACCCAAAGTCGGGAAAATCGGGACCTGTTAGAAAGTCGTAAAGTGTGGCTGCTAAGGGGTTTTTCGGGGTGCTGATCACGAATATCGTGTTAGTTTTGATCACAGATGATGTCTTTAAGCATTTAGACCAGGTCGGGTCAGGTCAGGTCAGGTCAACCGGTAGGGGTCCTGCCGGGTATTCGTAGTAGGTGTCAACCGCCTCTGACAGCTTCGTAACATGTTACGAAGTCACCAAAATTACTTCGTAAATGTTCAAATGGTTGCTAAATTCGAATTCAGCTCCAAAAACTAGCCTAGAAACATGTAAAACTCGAAAAAGTGAACCGAGGTCACCCGAGGTCACCAAAGGTCAATGACCTGACCTGACCTTCAGGTGACCTTGACACCCACCCTTATGCATGGGAGCAACATCAAATCACATGTTTGAGCGTTTGAAACCACCAAAAGCTTGCAAACGCGCGGCTAATGCGAGCCGACATACGCGGAATCGCGACTCCGGCCAAACATGGTCTCGGAAAAGAGGTCACAGGTCAAAGGTCATTTGGGTCAGGGTCATGAAATTTTAATGGTAGGTGTAAAATTGATCAATACAAGGGTACTAAAAGTTTCGTCGCGATCGGCCGCTTTTTACGCGAGGTATTCGCGAAAAACCATGGGGGGGGGGTCCATCCGACCCCGCCCCCCTACACATGCGAGGGTTAAAACTTTCAACATGTTCAAATGTTGAAACTATATTGTCGTCTTCTGTTTCAGAAACTGACGGTTCGTCTGCCGGATGACGCCGAGGTCACGGGCGCGTGTGCCCGCGACAACGCCGAGCCGGTGATCAGCCTGCGCTGGGAGCACTTCGAGTTCAGCATGTTCTTCAAAGAGGTCAGACTTTCAGCTTGGTGGTTGTTTTTAGTGACTTATGTTTTGGTCGATGTTGTGTTGTGAACTTGTAACTTGCTTTGAAAAAAAAACGCGTTCGTATGAGCAGTATTCATGCTCAGTTGAAAGGCATCCTTCGAATGCATTGCTTCCTGGCTCATGCATCATTTTATACATAATGCTTATAATTTTAATTTGTATCTTGATATTTGCTTCCCTGGATAGTATACGGTGATGATTATTTTTCCCTTGTCCTCAGAATGACATCGGCAACACGTGGTATGTCAGTGACATGAAATTGGAGTACGACGCAGACCAGTTACCCGAGGCAAAACCAAGTGAGTTATCGCGCTATATGTGCATTATGCACATTACACACGCTATTTATTCCGTTTACGACGACTTGAAGTTGACGGCAATGTCTCACACGTTCCACTAATACCCTCCCCTCCTCTCCCTCCTCACAGGAGTGGGCAGGCAGACACTCTCCCCGCTCCACTAACCCCTCTCCCTCCCTCCTCCACAGGAGTCGGTCGGCAAACACTCTCCCGCTCCACTAACCCTCTCCACCCTTCCCTCCACAGGAGTCGGCCGTCAGATGTTGTGGATGGACCGTCAGATGCTCCACACGCTCCACCTATTCGGCACGCCCGTGGACAAGGCGTACTTCTGCACCTCCAAACAGGACCTGGATCTGTACAACGGTGACGGAGTCCGCTCTGCCAGCGTTATCCTGTGGGACCTGCACCTGCAGCCCTACGTGCGCAACGGACAGTTCGGAGCCTGTGAGTACACGATAATCACTAAATACGGCATTCAAAAATGGATTCTGTTTCACTACACAGAGAGTAGAATAAACGATGCTGCCTCTCATTTCAACCTTACTCGTTTCCACTCCCTTTTTTCCTTTTGGCATGGGTGATGCAGCGCTTAGAGCAGGCAAACTTACATAGCTGCCGCTAGATGGCACTACCCGTCAACGCCTGAAGTGGTATGCTGTGCCGCAAGACCTAATTCTCTGAACAAGGCGTTATGGGCTGCCGGCGGGGAATGGGATATCACTCAAATATCATTATAATATTTACGTTTCTTTTTGTGAGAAGGCCGTTCTAAAAATTGAACTTCAGATTATTAAATAAGACCCCGTGCCCTCTCGTTCCGTCAGCGGTGAACTGCCCCGGCGTGCCGGTCGGCCGGCGCCGTATCAACGAGACCGTGCCGCTGGCCGTCGGCTCGACCCTCGCCACCGTCACCGTGCTAACCATCGCTGGCTACGCCGTCTGGAGACACTTCAAGGTCAAGAAGTTCAACTACGACACCATGGAGTGAGGCGTGGTCATACCCTGTCAGTGATAGATTCAGTGGAGCGGCAGACAGACCTTGTGTTAGAAGCATGGGACTGGAACACTTAGAGGTGATTTAGTTCACGTGACACTAACTTGGATATGACTAGGTTCATGCTAAGATTCCTTCATAAATAGTTCTGCCCTTCATGTGATGGTTTAGTTTCTTTGCACTGCAATAATATTTCGATAATGAATCTTGTAGCTCAGGAGCCGAGCCAGATATTGTGCATGATAAATTGCGATTGATTTTGTGAATAACGATTTCAAAGAGCTGTGCAGGGGCAGTGCTTTGATAGCTCTATCAAAGCACTGCCCCTGTAGAGCGAATATAAATCATTTTCACCGCTTTATTGCTACCGAGCATAGGTTGGCATTATAGGTGCCCTAGGCCAGGTATATCACAGGGAATGTTTCCAGTCACGTGATAGGCGAATTTGCTGAACAGGAAGGGTAGCGCCGGGGCTACTTCGATGTTATATGCTATAGTTTCTGTTTATTGTGATGTGGTACTTAGCCTCTCCTGCTGGTATCTGCTGTTCTATTGCTTGCATATAACAATCTACGTAAGTAACTCTAAAAATCATACTAGTGATGACTGATGAGAAGAGTACTTTTAAATGGACCTTCTAAGCATTTGCCATTAAAAGTAATGGGAATCACACACTGTTTGACTGATATTCACATGCTTAAAGAGCACTGCTTGTGCTTTTGGAACTCGCTATATTTGTTCACGCAATCGTTGTCGGAAAGAATGTATTTTGTATTTTGTTTGATCTTAGCTATATGCGCAATCAAGTGGGAGTATGTTGTTCTTCTTCTATCATTTTGTTTGTTCTGCACCATTCTGCAGTATTGCTGCTGCTGCTGCTGTCACTGTTTCTCACAGCGCTGCACATTGCACATGTCTTCCACGAGCACTTTGTTGTTCGCATGCGGTGGTGAGCTGAATGGTAAATGTCTGACGTTTGAAAACGTTGGCCGGGTTGTTATTGTAGTTACTGGGAGGAGCGCCCGTGAGTGTCGTCTCTGTTGTTTTAATCATAAAATGCGCTTGAGAAGTGTGAAACAGTCTGCGCATGATCTGTGTTGAAGTGTTCAGTGTGTGCGCATGAAAATTATGATTTGGACGCTTCAGAGGTGGGCTTTGCGTTGTTGTAAGCATAAAGGCCGCCGTCCACTGTGCGGAACGCGTGCGGTCCGTACGGAATTTAACACAGAACCCTATGGGCGCATCCGGTCCGTACGGAAATCGTGTGCGCTCCGTCCGGACCGCATCCGAACGGCAATCAGCTGTTGATTTTCCTTCAGCTCTCCGCATGCGTTTCGGATGCGGTTGCTACGGAGACGGAAGAGTGATGTCCGACGCGTTGAACTTTTCTGCGGAAAACGCATCCGGAACGTCCGGAACAGACGTGGTTTGGGGCCGTGTCGGAGGCAAACATTGTGAATTGTACGAAGAATTGGAACTCGATCATCATGAAGTACATAAGTAAAAATTATTTCCTTAGAATGACAAGAGTATTCGCTGCTGGTTACTTGCAATATTTTATTTGGTAATAAGTGATAGGAAACATTTATTAGCTCTCCGCATCCGGACCGCATCCGGACCGCATCCGGACCGGATGCGGCCAGCGTGCGGCGACATTCCGGACGGACTCCGGACGGAATTCCGTCGCAGTGGACGGCGGCCTTAAGTGTACTTGTAGATGCCTACGCTTTCTGCAATAGGAAACGGCGCCTACTTTTCAATCTTCTGTGTTGTATTTCTTCGCTAAGTTGTCTCATTTGATAAAAATGGCATAACTTATTGTTACTAATCTACTCTATGCTGTTTGCTTTCGGAGTTGCACTAATACACGGGATATAAATATCTGTTTTTTACAGGTAGCTACGATTGTTTGTTTCCTTTTCCTGTACTCATAAATAAAAAAGATGTATAGGCGTTGTTTAACGCAAATAATAAGTGTGTCCAAAACACCTTAGATAAGCCACAATTCACCGATCTGCGCCCCAGTCTACTCAGCGTAACACGCCGTCCACATCTGTACATTTATTAGTATTGTGTTGACGAGAACGGAATGACTACAGCCCCCCGCGGAGGCGCGGCGATGGCGGCGGCCGTCCCGGGTAGGTTATATGGCACGTCATATTCACGGGGATATGCAGCGACGTTCCGCAATACCAGCCAGGGTCGGGGCGGCGCGCAGCGCGGCGCGACACCGACCGGACAGACACAGACAAGGAACGCAGCAGTCCACATCACTATAGAACGAAACTCGCGCTCACTCGCTCACCGCGCCGCCACTTTATTGGTCTAAGCCGGCCCCTCTAGGAGGAACCGCGGACTGACGAGTATTACCACTCATTCACCACTCGCTAACTCGCACTCCGGAGTCGAAGATCCGAACAAACATGGGATATATAACGGACGACAGCGTTGGCTACACACATGGTAGGCATTAACACGAGGCGACACACTGGACACGCACTATAATGCTGTTCTATCACGACTAGCGCCGCGGCGACGACCGCTCGACTACACCGGAAAATAGTGTGGTAACATTACACCGTGCTGCTGATGCGGAGAACACGCATACATGTTCCTTACACGAGATTACAGACACTCGTAGATATTCACATCACTATCGTCTGGTTTTAACACTCACACCCAAATATGCACAATCCACAATTACACAATTCGGTATGCTCACTTACAACGGGCTGGGCACATCAATACGCATAAACTCGGAGCTAGCGCCATCACATTTTATTCCGTGCGGTCATCTCGAATCACCGGGCCTACGATGAGCCGGCGGTCAACGCATGCTCAAACGCCGGGTGTTTGACAAACTACTGCCGTTAACTGCATCACAATCACATGGCGCACAATATTGTACCACCAGATTTGATGTACGCTTGGGTTAATCAACATAGAAATGTGATTGAAGTAAATCAATGACATTTACAACCACGTCTGAGCCTTATTTTTACATATAAAACCGGGTTCTAAGTTTTTGAGTCCGTCTTAACTGTGCTGAAGGCAATCAATGATAAATTATGCGATTTATAGGGAGGAAGACAATGTGCACTATAATCCCCAACTCATGACAATTCTTTGGAAGCCTAGTAAGTGCTTTAAAGAAAAATTTTACGAATACATCATGTAGACAAACCGCTAGCCCGTTATTACCGACAGACTATATGCAGTACGCACATCTCACGATTCTCTTGTACACGACCATGCCAATGCACACTCACAGAATCTCGAACCCCCACCCGGTGGATGTGCGCTTGTGTTCGCACCACACCGTCTTAACCTAATGACTAGATTGCACTCACCCGGCCCCCGTGAGCAGCGGCTTGCGTCGCCTCACATACCGGGATATGAACACGAATACAAACAACACGTCACTCACACACACACAGTTTTAAATTAATGTTTAAAAATATGGGTACATTGAGATCCGTGCGGGAGGGTATGTGAAAACACATGTAAAAAATAAAATAAAATAATATACTAATGAAATAACAAAAACATTTTGAAGACAACATGAAAATAATAAAAATGCAACAAACATAACATATCAATAAGTTAAAATAAAGTAACAACAATAACGGTAAAAATAACAATGATGATAACGAATGATAAATGATAATGCAATAACTCAAATTATTGTTAGCATGACGAGTAATCACATCATAAGGCCGACCGCCATGTGTCGTCGACAACATAATCTAAAAAAAACACGCCCGAATCATTAGTTACTTTGCACCAAATGCTAGAGAAAAATAAAATATAAGAAACGCGTATCCATGCTATGTACATTTTTGTAGGGAGCGAATAACTTGACTGATTTATTTTTCACTTAATATACTCGTATCCATGGCAAAAGTTTTTGCCACGAACGAACTTATACAATGATCACAACCATGTGGGTGTCTTACGTTGACTAGAAAGTCAAGTTGACTAGAATACAGGAACGATATCATATTTTCACGTAATGCTAGTTCTGACCAAAACACTCTTCATTCACCATCGGTACTCGATCGTCATTCCCGAAATAAAATTTGTAAAATGCCAGAAGCACATGAATCTGTAGCTAAATTCAGTGCAGCTGGCACTATGCACAACTGTAGGCGTGGTATGTGGGGCAGGGGATCTACATACTCAGCAGGATAGGTGTTTTCCAGTGATACAGCCGTCTCTCACGTGCACGTTCAGCCCAATTTAGGATCGAAATTTATACGAAAAATTATTAACACTGCAGGTAACTGGTATCATAAAACCACACAAACAGCCACACATACAATAATCACTAACAAACTCACTGGCATGAGCTCACTCACTCACTCTCTCACTCATACTCTCACACACAAACACATTCATCCCGATTTTCGGGGCACGCCTGTCGGGCGCCTTTCGTCCCCAGTGGCTTCTCGCCATGTCTTTGGTATCAGCTGCCGATGGCCCGTTGAGAGCCGGGCTGGACAAGCACAAAACACAACAACACGTACGAGCACAATCTATACACAGGTGTAAACGTATTTACAGCGCGAGGGCCGGGCCCGCCGCCCGGTCCCGCGCGCCTAATGGAATGTTACAGTATGGAAAACGATCGCACGACACGCACATACATACACTGAGCTGCGGGCAAACAAAAGCAGCCAGCCGCAGCAGCAGATCGCAAGACTCGAGTTACATCGCCATACTGCGCCCGGTTACGCGAATACAGTCAGTCAGATCGAATTCCAGAATCGCTGATTTTCGCCGAGATCAACTCGAGATTACGTGTCGTCATTCAGAAAGCTCAGCAGCAGGCTCACCCTTTCTCTCTGAGTCAGATGGTGAGCAGCGATCCGACTAGTCGGAGTCGGAGTCGGAGTCGCTGGAGGGCGGCCGAGGAGGCGGTGGCTCAGCGGCGGGTTTGGAGGCGTTGCTCTGAGTGGCTGACAGGTACGCTGCCGGCTCGTCTTTGGAGTAACAGAACTCCATCTCCACCTTGTACTCATACCTGGGGAGGTGAGACGAGTCGTTTGACATCAATTGTTATTTTGCACACAGCTGGTCAAAGTATAGGGAAAGCTCATCATTTGGCGCTATTTCTATCGCGCTACTCCTTGCCGCGACTCGATATGTCACTTCTCTTTGTAAACCTGCCACTCTATCTCATGGCCCCACCGGGGCACGACCTGCCAATCAGAGGGCCATGGCCGCCTGAGCTATAGGGGAGATAGCCTTGGGGCCTGGGGAGGGCGGTCGGCAGCCTCGCCGGCTCAGAGACTGTTTGAGTGTCGAATGCTTGAGCCTGACGGCTATAGGCACCCTAACCCACTAAACAGCAAGCAGAAGAAGAGACTGTTTGAGCGCCGTAGTGCCCTGCGGCCGCTGATTGTGCAATGAGACATCGCTCTGCCTAAACGGTGAGCTTTGCCATTATTATGAGCATTAATCTGTTTGTTTATTGGTTGTTTCTAAGTTTAAGATGTAAATATCCATGAATGTATGCTTTTTTGTTGACTGGTTCTATATTGCGTTTCAGGACGAAGCGGTGTTCACTAAAGGCTATAAAAGGCGAAATGCTACAAAGGCCGTAAGCTATAAAAAGAGATAATGGGTGGTTAGATGACATCTAAGAGCAACTATGTGACTATTATGCTTAAATATGAATTTGAGAGCAGTTTTAAGCGGTTTCAAGAACCACCTGACTGACACAGATAATCATGTTCCGGCATACATCGGGTACGGGCTTACAAATGGCAAAATTGAAAGGATATCGGTATTTGGCAGCAGTAATGTTAACAAATAGCGCCTTACCTGGCGAGGTACCTGACGTATTTCTCGGGCGGGTCGCCGCTGCCGCCACTGATGGAGGCTGAGCGACACACCGTGTGTGACACGGTGGTGTGCGGCATGGTGTACTCGACAAAGCAGAACCTGTCGAAAGTCTCCGGGATCTGGTCGAACGACGTCAGGTTCAGCTTGCACGAGAACGTGTGGTTCGTGTAGGCACCTGCGGGTTGAAACAGAATGCTGGTGATGTTCAGGTACTTACCAAGCGTAGGTGTCGAGCTTGTTTGTGCAGGGTTAATGAAGCGGCGCAAGGAAGACAATAGTGCTAAAACAATCTCTAAGGCATTTATGCTGTTTTAGCGTTAGATAAGCACCATTTACATACTGTTCTGCTCCCGTGAGAACCGACCCGCCTTCGGAAATTATCGGTCAATAAGGTACTATCAAAAACTGCTATTCAGCTAATTTTTTAGTCATGTTTATAAGCCGTGTTATGTTGATTTCTCTCAAATAATATGCCCTCGCATAGCGTCTTCTTAAACGGAAACGTATATTTCGGACACAATGTCAAATTTAAACCTGATTTGTTTGGCTGCATACCTGGCGTAGCTCTTACAACAATGCAAGGGTGATTTTCACTAGTCGCTACCAAACTACTCGTCATAATTGTTGATACCATGATCGATACCTACATACCACTGATACACCACGAATGCGAAAAAGTTTCCGTTTACTATCCTGCTGTCACGCGCCACCCTCACTGACCTTGTCCCTCCTTGGGCAGCCGCGGTATCCTCCAGGCGATGGCCCGGTGGTGGTGTTCGTATTTGGCGCTGCCTGACGACACCTCCATCAGGCTCTGCTCCAGAGTGTCCACCGCTCCCAGGATACGCTCAATGCCCTTCACCTTGCCCTGACTGTGGGCAAAGACAGGAGAAAGTCAGTCGGTGCACTGTTGAAGAGAGAGGAGCCTGGTAAATTTAGCTTTTTTAGAGCTATCGTTTTCATGTGAATGTGATTGATATCAAGCAGCGTTTGCTTTCCGTGACTATTCCCTGTACCAAAAATGATGTGATAATTTGAGCCTGTTGCAATATATATGTAAACATCCAGCCACACAAATAATAAAGTTACGATAAATCACGCTGCACAACATTTCTGCTTGCATATAGCGTACGTAAACAGGCCGTAAACAAAACACGTACCGGCGATGGGAGGCCTTCACTGATCCATAGCGGAAGTGTTTCTCGACCCGGAACATATAAATCCAGCACTCGGGCAGAGGCATTCTGACGCACACATCCTCGCACGGAATCTGGCCCATCTTCCTGCTGACGTAGCCCGGCACGAGAATGTCCGCGCTAATATCAACCTGTCATGAACAATGAAGAAGTTATGAAACATTTGTGCACTCCGCTAATTTTAATGAAACAGAACTGGAAATTTGTTAATTTACTTTTAACAAAGTTAGCATCACTCGGCACGTAATTTCAAGCAATCTCAATGACCAATTATTTTCGGAAGTTTCCGAATGGGTTGCACGTGACGAATAAAAAACGACGCATGCTCTCGTCCTCGTGCTAAAAATATTGTCGTGCTGCTTATAACGATCTACCATCGGTATGCGGCGAATAACTCGTATTCTATCTTCTTTGAATATCTACTGGAACATTACAATTCAGAATTGCATAAGCATAGATATTATATAAGGCAAGTATGAGGACGATTGAATGGCCATGGCGCCATCTTACCTTGTTCTGAAGGATGGTGTATTTGACTTTGACCTGAAGAGGCAGCTCGCGGCTCCTTGGTGGTCGGACTCTAAACCGCATCAGTTCAATGTAACAGCCATCCGGTGGTTTGAACTGAAATATAAACGAGCATTATCAGTCATCACAATTAACTATATCGATACGGAGCATGTTCCGAGTGAGCGAGGACCATATCGAAGCAACGAATACGTCATCGACCCGTATCGAAATTAGCTCCACCGCGTATGCCCACGTCTCAATGATTACTCACTTATATAAAGCCGTTCGAGCCATTCTATGAATAGCAACACCTACGTCAACGCCAAGTGAAGCTATTTCTGGCGCTCCACTCACACCACCACGCGCTCGAGCCACTCAGCCGCCTACCTTGAGTATCTGCGACTCCTTGAAGGCCTGCAGGTCGATGATGTTGTGGAACTGCACGTCCTCGAGACGGATCCACTCCTCGGTGGCCACGGGGATGATGTCGTGTCGGCCGACCACCTCCTTGCCCTGACGCCGCAGGTCATTGATACCCAGCTCCACGTCAGGCATTCCTGGAAGAGGGAATGAAACGGCCGTGATGGTCTCTCACTGGGACAAATTTTTAAGGAATTTAGCTTGCAGCTACGACGTACAGTGCGTATACACATGTGTAAGTCACTGCCAGTAATAACCCTCGCACCGACGGGGGGGCGGATATCCGCCCCCCCCCTGAGGTTTTTCGCGAATAGCGGGAAAACCGCGGCGCGTAGCGCCGCGAAATTTGGCATGACTATAACCTCATCAATTTTACACATGGTGTGCAAGTTTGAACCTCCTACCTTTTAAGGTCAGGTCACCAGGTCACTTTGAATGACCCAACCTCAAGTCACTTTTTTGCAACTTTGTCACCGTGCCAGAGCTACAGTAGATGTCGGAGGCCTTTGAAAGTCGCAGGATATTATTAGGTCATTAATAGCTACAATTTGTATATCTCGGAATTTTGATATCGGTGACCTAAGGTCAGGTCAATTTCGCGACCTCCCCATTATAAGTCAATGGGGGAAAATCAACTCCGTTTTTACCACTAAAACGGGTCGGAATGGCCCCATATACCATACATGACTTCATATACGATCAACCTTCACTACCTTGAGGTCTGACAGTTTTGCTGTTGGGCAGCTGTGAGGTCATGTGACGTCATCAAAGGTCACCAAAGGTTTTTGGCCAATAACTCCGTACAGGAACAAGATACAGACGCATGGATGGTCTCATTGTGTTCAGCTCGTCAAGACGCATCGAATGATATACATGATGACCTCGAGGTCACGTGACCTGAGGTCAACCTGTGACCTTGACCTTTCGAGGTCAACATATATATCATTCGATGCGGATTGACGAGAGGATCACGATGATGCCCTTAGTTTGTTCCTATCTTGACTAATTCGAAAGTTATTGGAGAAAAATTCTCTCCATATCTAGCGCCGCCATTTTGACTTTTTCGACCCCTGTGACGTCATCTTTGACCTGACCTGAAAATGACCTTAGTAAAAATTGTAGATCTTGGCCAAGCGTATCCGATGCCGTTTACCGCTTGTCGCTATCTTGCTTCGTTCTCGAGATCTCAGGGGGGGGGGGCGGTCATCCGCCCCCCCGTCGGTGCGAAGTTGGCGCAGACCCCCGTCGGTGCGCGGGATAATGGAATGTGCGATTTCAGATAAAAGATGGCCGAAAAACGTGTTGAATGTTTATATTGATTAGATCCATGTAAATTATTATCATCTTTGTATACTAAAGTTTAATCAGTTTCGTTGAAATTTTGAGCCCGTTAGCCAGGATACTGCCACTAACATGGTTGAATAAATGCAACGTTATACCCGAGCTACATGCAAACGACAGCAACAGCATTTCCGCTATACCTGAGAGGAAGGCGAGGAAGAACAGCCGAACCCTGGCCAGCTGCTTGGTGACCGCTCCCGTCACATCCTGCTCCAAGTAGACCTCGTCCACTCCCGATATCTGGATCTCCTCGGTCTTGTAGTTGAGTGCACGGTCACGATGCACGTTCACCTGACGGTAGTTAAGTTGGTATGGTGAGAATAGTTTACAAAATGTTGTCGGTAGCATGTGAATCAAGGAAGTATAAGCAACTGAGATGGCGTGATTAGAAATTACCTGAAATATGCTGAATTCATCGTGATACAATTTATTTTGCAGGGAAGCCACTTTGTACCAATCGGTATGAAACATCCAATTGACACGTCTGATTCCAAACATCAACGAGTGAAACGTTTTGTATCTTTTCCTCAAAGCAAAATAAACAGGAGAACTGCATCACGGTGGCTCGTCGGGACCGGCCCGGCCGGGGGAGGGGCGGCGGCGTGTGCATCGTGCACAGGGACACCCTGCGAGCAGAGACACTGGCTGTGCGGGGCGCGGGTACGGCTCTCGAGTCACTCTGGCTGAGTGTGAAAGGCGTCACCACATTCGTGGTCGGAGTTGCGTATAGGCCCCCCAGCGCCCCCGTGTCGGCCGCCCTGGACGCTATCCAGGATCAGCTGGCGCGGATGAACAGTAGGTACCGGCAAGCCAGTTTACATGCTCGGCGACCTGAATTTTGACCTGCAGCAACCATCCAAGCCCGAGGTCAAACGGTACCAGCAAACTCTACAGGACCTCGGCATGAAACAGCTGGTCTCCGGTCCCACCCGGCCCGAGTCCGGCTCGCTGATCGACCACGTGGTGGTCCGTGCCACCGATGACGTCACCACCGCCCGAGTCGTCCCCAGCAGCTGCAGCGACCACGACCTGGTGGTGGCCGAGACGCGGCTGAAGAGGGATCGCCGCCGGCCGACCGAGATCACCGTCCGTTCCACGAGGGGACTGGTGCCGGACCAGCTGCGACTGGAGCTCTTGCTGGCGGACTGGACGGCTGTGTACGGCGCGACCAGCACTGAGGAGAAGTGGGCGGCCTGGCTGGCCGTATGGACACCGGTAGTCGATCGGCACATGCCTATCGTCAAGGTGCGGCCCCGACACCGGCCGTGCCCGTGGCTCGATGACAGCGAAGACGTGCGCACTCTCATGCGTGAGCGGGATTTGGCTCGCCAAACACATGCCGCCAACCCTTCGCCGGCGAGCCGCGAGCGTTACACTGCGTGCCGTAACAGAGTGAAGAGCGCTCAGTGTGAGGCCAGATCTTCGTTCTTCTTATCATCCTATCGACACACCAGACGAACGACATGGAAGGACATCAGGCGGTTTTTGATCGCGCCGAAGGGTGCAGAGGCTCATCGCACCGACCCGAGTGAGCGTGATGGCCGGTGGGCCGCGAGGCTTAACCCACGAGCCGCTGGGGGGGGGGGGGGGGCATAAAGTTGCCCCCCCTTTACGTTTTGTGAAATATCTCCGGAACCTGATGAGCTACGAACGTGAAACTTGGCACAGCTTCAAATGAACACCTAGGCAATGTTTGAGGAAAGTTTGGTGGTTGTAGCACCGAAGGTGACGTCACAGTGACGTCATAAAGTTTTGTCGTTTTCCGATATGGACCGTTTCTGATGACGCTGAGCATGAAACTCGACTGTAAATGAACTAGACAGCACCTGCTGTCATCCTAAAACATCTTACTACACTTCCATCTAGTTTCTGACCAATAATCGGCCCTTTTTATTCGGTCCCATATATGTGATGTATCGTGAGGAATATGAGAGTCGCAAATCTATAATTTCACTTATGACGTCACTGTGACGTCATTTCAAATGGAATCGACACCAAATTTGGACACAACCTCGGCTAGGTATTCAGGAAGATGTGTGCAAAGTTTCGTTTCTCTATCTCTTCGCGTTGCGACGATATCGTCGCAGAAGTAAAGGGGGGGGGGCAACTTTATGCCCCCCCCCAGCGGCCGGCGGGTGGCGCGTAGGCCCAGCGGCCGCCGGGTTAATGCACATTTCGCTACGGTGGGGGCGCGAGTGGCGGACGCGTTGGAGCAGACTCGGAATGGGGCGGACCGACTGCCCCCGCGTCCCACTCGCGTGGTGAGCGGTGCGTTCAAGGTGCGACCGGTGACTCTACCCGAACTGTCTGCGGCGCTCCAGCGAATGTCGACCTCGAGGGCGAGCGGGGAAGATGGGATAACAATTGGCATGCTGCGCATGACTTTTGAAGTGATTGGGCCGCATTTGCTCAATGTCGTAAATTCCTCCATCGTGTCGGGCGCGGTGCCGTCGGTATGGAAAAACGCACTAGTTGTCCCCATACATAAGGGTGGTAGCACAGAAGACCCTAGTAATTACCGACCCGTGTCCATTTTGCCTACCGTGGAAAAGCTCGTAGAAAGTGTTATTTGTATTCAACTAACTACTTACCTGACGTCCCATAATATTCTGTGCGACGAGCAGCATGGGTTCCGGCCGGGCAGATCCACGGAGTCGGCGATGCTGGACGCTGTTGGTTATTTAATTGGCGGGATGGACCGTGGACTCATTGGCTGCCTTACCACAGCCGATACATCTAAAGCGTTTGACAGCGTTCAGCATCCCCGGCTCCTGGAGAAGCTCGGTTGGTATGGGATTGATACCCACTGGTTTGATAACTGGCTCAGTGGGCGCGGACAGGCAGTGAGAGGTGGAGAGGGGGACATGCAACCAATAACGCATGGCGTAATCCAGGGGTCCCTGATCGGCCCAGTACTCTTTTTAATTTTTACAAATGATTTAGTGTCATACCTGGAAATGGAGGGCTCCAAAATGGTGATGTATGCGGATGATGTGCAACTTTTACATCAGAGTAAGCCCAGTGACCTGTCGGGACTCAAAGTGAGCGTCGAACGCACCGTAGCCACCGTGCACAGCTGGTTTAGTGAAAACAGTTTAAAAATTAACCCTAACAAAACCGACCTCGTACTAATTAAGTCAACTAAGCGGCAGTCATCCTCCGAGTTTTCTGTGCAATTCGGCGATGTTTCTATTAGACCTTCCCCGGCGGTGAAAGTGTTGGGGATGGATGTTGACGGAGGATTAACGTTTGAGAAGCATGTTTCTAGTATAGTTAGACGGTGTTATGCCACTCTTGGTGGACTATCAAAAATGGCTGGCAAATTGCCAGAACCTGTGAAGAAAATGATTGTTGAATCACTTATTTTTCCGCATCTCAGTTATTGCTCTTCTGTGTGGGCCGGCTGCAATGCTTCCCAACGGCATCGCTTACAAAAAGTGTTGAACCATTGTGCACAGGTGGTGAAGGGGGCAAAACGGCGAGACCATGTCACGCCGTTATTAGCTGAGCTAAAATGGACGTCACTTGACAACCTTGTAGCCGAGCGCGACGTTTCCCAGATGCACTATTTGCTAAATAACGAACAGGCGCCCGGCAGCCTGACCGCGTGCATTGTACACCGCAGTGATGTAGCCACTAGGGACACCAGAGCCTCTCTGGCTGGTCTTCTGCAGATTCCCAGGGCGCGCAGTGAGCATGCACGAAGGTCCTTCTTTTATCGTTCGCCCGCTCTGTGGAACCGGGCGCCGGCTGAAGTGAGAGAGGCGCGCTCTGCGACGGCGTGTCGCAGAAGGGCGAGGAAATGGCTCGCCATGTCCTCGCCATAGCGGATAGCCGAGTAGGACACCGGACATCGGATTTTACCAATCTTTTAGTGTATCTATGTCTTTTTATCGCATGTTTACATCTTAACCTGTATTGTGTGTATGTAATATTTGACTCTTGTTCTGAAAAGCCATGATGAATGTGGATGAACATATGATTACATGATGATGATGATGATGAAGGAAAACAACAAGAAAAAAAATCTTCAAAAAGCACGATCTTATCTTGCCTTGAACAGAGTTTCTTCCACAAAGCTGGCGAAGCGTTTGACATCCTCGTAGTGCTGGGTGCCAAGTTTCAGCAGCTGTGAGATCTGGGGCGCGTGCTCGACCGGCATTCCCAGCTTACGGACGTCGCTGGCGAACTCCTTGACGCGGTCGTAGTCGCCCTCCCAGGCTGAGATGGCGAACTGGCCGAGCTTCTTGGTGATCCGCTCCGCCTGAGAAGGGAAAATATAGATATATTTAAATGTGCAAATTACACGAACATCCCATCATATTCAAAGTTAAAAATAGTGTGAAGCCTAAATTTATGGTAACTGCTGTTCCCATGGAAGGAACGCGAGAGCGTAGACCTACTGAATAGTGACTTTTCGCCGACAAAGGGCGAGCAGTGGCAAGCATATAATTCGGCCGATACATCATGACATTATCTAATGCGATACAATACCAGAGCTCATAAAGGACACTGCCACCCGAACAGCGTCGTCGCTTAGTGCTTACCTTAGTCATCTGACCCGGCCGTACTCCCGGCCGCTCCTTGTAGAAAATGTACTGCAGCTTGACGGTGAAAATCTTCCCGTATTGATCGTACTGCTGAGCTCCTGTAATCCGGGATAGACTTTGGTCAGCAGTCAGCGTTTTTTGGAAAGCAAATATTCTGACTCACACTGCAACGTCACGCAGTATTTGAGTTTTGACTTTTGACGTTAGGTCTCAATCTCTGCTAAGAGTTGAGAACAATAGAGAATGTCCTGCTTCAATAGCCAGGCAGGGTCTATGTATATTTTGTTATAAGGAAATCAGCAAACCAAAGCAGTACTTTTCGGATCAGGATCCGTGGGATCAGATCATCCATTTTCTCGGATCCAGGCTCATGTCTGATAGCATGACAGTCGCTCGTATGCGATCAGTTGAACTTATACAAATATCTATCAAACACAAGTATTCCGTTATAAGAAAGCTGACAGGTAAGCTGGCTGATTGGTCTTAGCCAGCTTAGAGCGTCCCAGCCAATAGACTGGGCTGCTAGCCTGCTGCACAGCTCGGGGTATCGTATACTCGGGGTATCCTCCATGGTATCGGAAATCTTCCGTGGCATCGGCACCAATAAAAGAGGCCTGGCTGGCTTCGCTAAAGACGGACATCTGGGTTGGGCTCGCACGGGTTGTGAAGGCTTCAAACCGCGTGAATGGTGTTATGACATGCACCTGAGTGATCGCAAAAGGACGTAATAGAGGACCACAGAACGACGAGTTTTGGTTGAGATTGAGTTATGAGTACTGACCGACATCGGAGACGGAGTAGCACGCCTGCAGCGGTAGCTCCTGGAACGGATCCGAGTCATTTCTGTCGTTGAACAGCTGCAGTACCGCATTGTCCGCCAAACGAACAAACACCTTCTTCCAGAACCTGTGAGAGCAGTGCGGGATATTTATATCATTTGGGAGCGAAGGTAGGTAGGCAAGGGCGGAAAGAATTCGGTGGTTGCTGCTGACCGTAGACGAATATTGCACACGCCCTAATGCGTGGCTAATAATTCATGCTATTCCGTGATCATGCCAGTGTGTCATCATGAGCTATTTGTGATATGATATTGGCATACAAGTAACGACCCAAGTAATTTTGAGGCAAGCAATTAGTTCTATCGCAACATAGCACAAAAAGGGCAACTAAAATAAGCAAATGTGCAGGAAGATGGGCATTATATATTTTACCGCTCGTGACCAAGCCACTGACCTCTGCCCGGTGATTTTTTTCTTATTGGGCTGCCGGAGATACATGTCAAACTCTGCCTTGTCCCAGGTGGTTCTCGGGAACGGCTCCAGCGGCTGTGAGGTGTCCTCGTCGAACAGCGGGGTCTCCGGTGGACTGCCCGATTCGGGCTCCGGACGCTCCACTGCGGATACAAAAAGGAAGTTCGTAGTGATATAATGGAAACAAAATCTGATATTTTTCTAAAGCCATTGACGCACTTTCTCGTAATTTATCAATACAGTTCATCATTTAGTCGGATACCTCGTATCTAAGCAGGTAACTAAAGCATTTACGCAACAACAAAAGCAATAAGTCTTGAGCAAAACTTACTCCATTGCTTTATTCTGCCCGGAATAAGAAGCGTCTCCCCTCCCACTTTTCCTCGCCTCTCGCTCCCCTCGGCTCTGCGCTGTTGACACACCATTACCCAGTCATGCACAGTGGACCGTGCGTACTACACCCCTCCGCACACATCCCTCCCCAGTCCCCACCGTAAGTCAACACCCCCACCTCCAGCACTGCGACTGACTCCTGACCTTTAGCCTGCGGTAGGTCCAGCGAAAGGTCGGTTGCCGGCACTGCGAACGGGTTACTGCCCAAGGTGTCGGCAGGGGCGTCCTGGAACGCAGCGACCGCTGGCTTGGGCGGTGGCGCCAGGGCTGGCACAGGAGCTTGTGACGTCCAGCTCTGCTGTGGTCTGGAAAGGTGCATTGGTGCACGATAAGTCAGATGTGTTCAGTGTTTTGTTGAACTTTGGTCAGTAGTGTAGTTCATGGATAAGTAGTTCATGAATAGAAGGTCATGCATGGTGTCCTATTTGAAAACCTATACAACAGTTCAAAGACACAAAGGCACTAAGCTCCAGAAAAAAGCTTAAGTTCATAACTAAGCTCATCTTTCATCCATGCGAAAATCACTTCCAATGAGACTTCCTATTTCAACATGCTAGCCATATTTGAAAAAACAAACTTCTGCCTTGGTGAAGCATTCATAATAAATGCAATGAGATTCATATTCCCACATCTGTGATCTGTGTAGGAAACACCGCTCTTGTCCTCGACTTTATCCTTCCAGGCGGTGGGGGGGGGCATTTTTTGCCCCCCCCCCTTTAGTTTTTTCGATATATCTCGAGAACCGCTGCGCCGATCGTCACCAAACTTTCAGTACCCTCCCGGGAGCAGCTAGCGCACATAATGACCAAAAATTTTTTCAAATGGCTATGATAGGTTGGCCGCTAATGACGTCAGAGTGACGTCATTTTTGCCATTTTCGACCCAAAAAAAGGTTTCGCGGGAAGAGCTGTCAGGCCTACAGCTTTAGAGATACATAAAAATGTTTCAGACATAAAAGGTGTGGAATCAAAAGGGCTACAAAACTGCTATTTCGGTTTTTCGATTTTTTGGATTTTGACCCCCAAAAATAAAAAAATAGATTTTTCGAAAATAATAGCCGAAAAATCCAAAAAGTTTTTTGAATTTCGAAAAAACCGGAATATATATGATAGTCCCTACCGCCTTCTATCTACATACCAAATTTGAGATCGATACCTCTTTTTTTTGGCCAAGTTATAGCGAAAAAAACTGTTCAAAATTGATGACGTCAAATTTTCAAACTCAATTTTTAGCAATTCTAGAACTCGTAGCGCAAAACAAAGACCACCATTAGACTCCCCGTGACGAGCTGCATCGACTCGATACCCATTTTATGCAAAAATATCAACTTTGAAATTTGACCTTTTTTGACCTGACCTTGACCTGAACTCCACCAGAAAGTGACCTTAACCGTACCTGATGGTCTTATAACCAACACCATTGAGTTGGAAATGAAAAACTGGCCATAAAACATGCATCGCATAACCTTAGTAAAGTTGGGCTCATGTGGTGACCCTTGGTGACCTTTGGTGACCTGACCTGTGACCTGACCTGGTATGACCGGTAACCTCTAATAGCAACATATGTACTAGACAACTGACGCCTCATCGCTGATTTTCGACAAAATGCGTTTTACTCGGTGTTATAGCGCTTTCCCTAGAAGCCCCGTGAACGGTGAAACATTTTGTCTTTGACCTGACCTGTGACGTCATCGGTGACCCCGAGGTCAATGAAATTTGGTTTCCCTCGACAAATTTGACAGGGCTATCGAACGCCGTTTGAATTTTCCGGATCCGTCCAGTAGTTTCGGAGATACGGGGGGGGGGCAAAAAAATGCCCCCCCCCCACCGCGCGGAAGGTGGCTGGTAGGCCCACCGCCTGCCGGGTTATGAACAATTTAAGAATTTCGTGATAAAATCAGCGAGCTAAAACCCAGCTCACGTCACCAAAACATCAGTACTTAAGTCCAGCAGCCTTTCGTTCTCAACGTTCTCTTCTTTATCTGCCCACCCCATCCCCTCCTGAAATCCAGTCTATCGTTCGCACCTGATGAATACGTTGAGGTCGGTCGGCTCATCCTCCGAGTGCTGTTTGCTGGCGCCGCGAGCAGGAGTCGACTGCGGCACCGGAGGTGGCGCCGTCATCGACAGGAACGAGTCGAACGCCGGGTCCTCGAAGCCACCTGGGCCCGCGGACGAAGGCGCAGCGGAGTCGCCCCAGACTGCGGAGGAAGCGGTGGGGAGATAACTGATAAGGTAGAAAGGCTGCTGAAAGTTAGAGAGGCTAGAGAAGGTGACAGTGAAGCAATTACTGCAGCGAGAAAATTGGTATGAGATGCGCCCTTGGATGCTTGTTATGACTATTCGGCTCTTGATACATACATAGGCGAACACGAGAAGCAATGGACCCTGTCATGATCGTGGCCGGCAAATGTTAAGCTTTTTGTGGACCGATAACATATGAAACGCATTTATTATTTCGGAGAAGTCAAGTAATCAAAAAGGATAGCCAAGAAGCTATCATATGCAAAGCTGAGAAGCAATAACTGGTTCCTTTGATGGCGTAATGACATCTTCTGTTACATTTTCACTGTATGACTGACGTTTTGTAGACATACACCAAACTTCTCTTTCTGGTCTGAAACGTACAATAGTTACTCGACCCACAGATCATCTCACCTGACGCAGACTTGTCGGCCGTCCCAGTCGCCGCCCCGAACGGATCCACAGCGCCACCAGTTGCCGCATCATCCGCTGCCTTCTCAAACCTCGCTGCAAACGCGTCAAAGGCATCCTCCTGCGGTGCAGCTGCGTCCGCTACATCGCCGGCTTCCACTGTCTCCAGGAAGGGGTTAGGCGAGGGCGGCGGCTGGCGCCTCGGTGGCGCAGGAGGTGGCGGACGACGCACTGCCGCCGGCTCTGACGCCGCTGGAGCCGAGAAGATGTCTAAGGGGTCAACAGCTTGTGTGGTTGACGAAGCTGCTGCCGCGGTCGCTGGTGGAGTATCGAAGATACCGAGCGGGGAAGGTACCGGAGCGGATGGTACTGCTGGGGGCTCGATGCCTCCTCCGAAGATGCTGGAGGGTTCTGAAGGCGCTGAGAAGATGTTGAGCGGATCGACAGTCGGTTTCGGTGGGGCGGCGGGTGCAGCGGCTGTCACACCAGGCGGAGGGGGCCGGGCAGGGGGCGCGGCTGGCCGAGGAGGCGGCGGTGGTCTCGCCGGCTGAGGCGCCACCTCCGGCTCGGGCGGGGGCGGGGGCGGCGCGGTCAGTTCCTCGGGAGGTGTCAGAGCCGTCGGTGGCTGAGACGGTTCATACTGTCCAGGCGGCGGACCCTCGGCCAGTGTAGGCGTCGCCACCACGGAGGGGATCGGGGACGGTCCTGGCGGACTGAGTGGAGACGGAGGAGTGATCTGAGACACAGGCACCACAGGCGTGGAGAACTCGTCCATGAAGGCGGCCGCCGTGTGGGCGCGTCCGTCTTCCTCCGGTGCATCCACCACAACCTTGGCGTCAGGTGGAGCGTCCAGCTGTAGCTCCAGTGGTCTCAGCGGCACCTCCTCTGACGGTGATGACTGATGGGGCGGCGGAGCCGGCGGCTGCAAACCCTCAGCACTGTCGGCAGCCTCATCCTCCGTCTCCTTCACCTCCTCAGGCGCAGCTTGCGTCGTGCCATCCTTATCTCCCTCTTCTGTCGCTACCTTCGGAGGTTCCGGTGTATCCCAAATCGTTGGCTCGGGTACAGCCGGGACGGAAGCAGGCGCTGCCGTCAACACAGGCTGCTCCAACATGTCCGCTCCGTCCTTCGCTGGTGGCATCGGTGGCCCGTCAGCCAGAAGATCTCCAGTTGGGTGCGCGGCTTCGTCGTGGAACGAACTACTTAGCAGGTCTACCTCCTGTTCTGGTTTTCTGGTCGCCGGTGCGTTGAACAGACTCAAGATCTGATCCTTGGTTTTGGTGACCGGTGCTGCGGGTGCCGAGTCCCAGAGGTCGATCTCGTGGGCGGCAGAGTCCGTGGGCGCATGGGCGTGGTCTGGAGCGTCCTCATGGTCGCTTAGTTCCTCGACGGTCTGGCCGAACGCAGCGCTGGAAAAAACGAGCCGATACTTGCTAAATTCGTTTTGGATGCATTTACTTGAGCGAGAGTTGTTGAGATTTTAACGTTAACTGACTCACTTATGTCTCCATACGCTAGCGTGAGAAGCAAATTTATATGGTCATATGGGACAAAATTATGAAACGGCAGTTGGCAATAGGACACACGCAATATGGCCATACAAATCATTGATTTTTGGGCATTATCTGGCCATTATCGTCACTATCGCAACGATCAATACATGCCGCCACAATCAAAACCTTATGAGTCACGCTATCGACCAATCATAGACAGGTCAAACACGCACGGGCCAGCAAAGCATCTTGGATTTGTCTTAGTTTCTAGCCTATATCTGGACTAAAAGTATTATCGAATGAAAGGTAAAGAGAGGGGTGGGTAATTATGCTCACCTGAAGGCGACATCATGATGTTCCACATGTTCATCCAGACCATCCAGGGGTGGAGACGGCGAGCGGGACAGCATGTGGGTCGGACTCTGGCGCGGCGTCTTCACGTTACTCAGCTGACCGAACAGCGAGTCGCTGGCCGCCTCCAGGTGACCGGTCACGGAGGCCAGCAGGTTGCGGGTCGCCTCGGGCACAGGAGGTCGCGGCGGAGGGGCCGCCGGCCCGTCCAGAAGGTCAGTGTGAGGTGGAGGCGGCACAGGGGGCGGCGCCGTCGCTGCTACGCTGACTTTAGGGGGTGGTGGGCGTGACACCGGCGGCTGAGGCCTGGGTGGCGGTACAGAGTCGGCAAAGGGATTGCTGAGAGCCGCGTCGGCGACAGGAGCAGGCGCGGGCTCCGAGGAAGCCAGGAAGGCGCCGAAGGGGTTGTTGTCCAGGGCTGCAGCTGGGCCTGGAGCGTCGTCCATGAAAGGGTTGCTGAGTGCAGCAGAGTCATCTCGCTGAGAGGATTCGAACCCTCCAAAGCCGCCCATCTCTAAGAAGGGATTACCAGAAGCCATGGTTGATAGTTTTACTAGAAACACTTTCTAACACGCAACACTCACGACTATCGGGGCAGTGTTTTACTGACTTCTTACGAGTGCAGCAGTTCGCGCTCAAGCGCCAGAATCTCTCCTTTACCAGGTACCAGACTGTCAGCGATGCTTGTATCAAACGGATCGACTTCCTCGGGTTCTTCAACAGTCGGAGCTGACACAACAGTTGCCGTCAGTGTTTGTCCTGCGCCAGGAGCTCCGGTATCAGCGTCCAGGAGACAGCCAACCGCACCAGCAGCGGCCTTCGGGGTGGCCGGCCTGGCTACCTTCTCTTCTCCGCGCGGATCAAAATCAGGGTCGCTCACAGAACGTTTCAGCGCCGGCGATGCCGCTTCGTTTCCGGCGAACTCTTGCTCGAGGACGCGGAGCTCGGTGGCACCGTACTTGTCGGCAATCGACGTGTCAAACGGATCGAGCGCAACCGGGGAAAGTGGTCGCGGTGGTGGAAGATCTGCGCTTGGCTGGAGTGTTGGTGCCTGCTCTGAGGTTGGAGTTACCGCAAGAAGCTCGTCTGCAGAAGGTGCCAACAGGGAGGCGGGCAGCTTAGCGGGCGGAGTTGGCCGGGGAGGGGCTGGTCGCGGGGGTGCGGGTCTTGTCGGTGGTTGTTGTGAGCAGCGTACTTCACCAAGAAGCTCGCTTTCGAGAACACGTAGCTCGGTGTGTCCGAACTGTTCTGCGGCGGATGTGTCGAATGGGTCGATTTCCTCTGTTTCTGACTGGGTCCCGGTAGCAGAGACGGGCTGGAGCAGTGGATTGGGATCTTCGGGAGTGGACGCTAGCAGTGCTGCCGAGCTCTCAGATACACTCAGGGAGCTTGGTTTCGTAAAACGAGCGCCGTCAACCTCAGACGGATGTACGATACTAGCAGGGTCGACGTAAGACGTATCGAAAACGTCTCTTTCTTCTTCTTCTGCGCCTGCTTCTTCTTGTACACTGTTCGTACCGGACTTTACTGCTGAAATCTCTTCGGCTAAGTTGGGAAGAAGTTCGGTGAGTTGTTTTGGTGCCGGAGCGGGGGACGCTCCAAGCAACTCCTGCTCAAGAACTCCTACCTCAACAGTGCCGAATTTGTCGGCGATGGATGTGTCGAACGGATCTATCTCTTCAGGCGGGTCCTCCGGGCGCTGTGGAACTAGCTCAACAGGTGCCGTGTGCTCCTCTTCAGGAGTTAGGGTAAGGAGCTCTGGAAGAGGTGCAGGCTTTGGCTCAGGTGTCACGTCAAATGCTACCGGAAAGGTAGAATCACTCTTAGGAGCAGGTGGAGGAGGTCGTGGCGGTGCACTGGTTGCAGAGAGATCTAGTTTTGTTGCTAGATCTGTTACTGCAGCTGGCTCAGGTGTTGTCAGAAGTTCGGTCTCTAGTACTTGCAGCTCGACGTTGCCGAAAGTGTCCGCGATAGATGTGTCAAATGGATCGACCTCTGCCTGTGAGGTTGAGCCTGTTACCTGCTCCGTTGGTAAAACAACGGGCGTAGAGTCTTGCGTTGGCGTCGAGGCTAAAAGCTCTGCTGCGTCAACAGGTTTCGAGACAAACCCTCCAGCAAATGATGTATCGAACGGATCTGGTTCCGGTTTCTCTTCTCCTGCACGAGGGTCAAAGTCAAAGTCGTCCTCGTTTGCAACGGGGACCGATGTCTGCTCAGATCCTGGTGCGTCGGAAGAGTCGAAAAGCTCCTGCTCGAGAAGCTTGATTTCGGTTCCGACAAGCTTGTCTGCAGCGGTGGTATCAAAGGGATCAACTTCCTCTTCTTCTTCCTGGCTGGTTTGATTGTTATCAGGCTTCTTTTCCTGTTCGTTTGAAAACTTGATTGGTTCGGGGAGAGGTTCGTAGTCGTGATGTTCGTTAGATGTCAAAAAGTCTGGTGTCTCTTTTTCTGGAGAAGTGATAATCACAGGCGGTGGAGGACGAGATGGTCTCGGCTTTGCTTCTCCAAAATCGGCCTCAAACTTGACTTCCTCTTCGTCAAAGTCAACTGTGTCAGCAGTCTTGTCTTCACCCAGGACTTGTGTGACTGCAGATGTATCGAATGGGTCGTCGTCACCGATGATTTCCTCGCGATCCTTGGCTCGAAGAAGTGATTCGGTTGCAAGAGAATCAAACTCTAGGTCGTTTTCATCAGGTGGTTTGGCTGTAAGAATCTGCTCGTTACTCCCAGCCTGAGAAGGCTCAGCCTTGGTATCGAACTCGCTGACAATATCACTGATAATCTGGTTGTGGGGTTCAGTGGGACTATTGTCCTTGCTCTTTACGGTATCGGGTACTGGCTGGGGTTTGTGGAAGTCAGGTGTTACGGCAAGATTTAACTCGAAATCGCCGCCATCTTCAATGTCCTCATCAAGAAGTGTTTTCTTTGTCGGTGCCTCCTCTGTCGGAGAAACAGTTGCACTTTTTGTAACTCTGATGTCCTCCGAGGGTAGAGCCGCTTCTGATGTTTCAAGTAGGTCCAAGGAGCCCTTTCGTCTGTAAACACCTCGCTCCCGACGGCGTGATTTCTTAGGAGCAGCTGTAGCTGGAGCTTCTACCTGCTCGGCGGACTTCTCGCTATCTTTCTGGGCACCGCTAAGGACTTCAACTGCTTTGCCTAACGCGAAAGCCTTAAGTTTCTTTTTCTTGATTTCTTCTGGCTTTTCACGGAGGACCTCGTCAACCGCTGATGTATCGAATGGGTCGTCGCCGTCCTCTGTTGGACTATCAGGGATAACAGCAAGGTTGATATCCTTGACGGCGTCAACGTATTCGGTGTTAAAGACGTCCTCTTCGAAATACTGAGCACGTTCTAGTTTCTCAACCTCGGATAAAACCTCTTCAAGGTCACGCCTTTTCTCAGGAGATGGTGTTTTCTGAGATTCAACAGGCTGTTCTACTGGTTCAGGCTCTGTCTCAGACTCTGGTGACTCTTCCTCAACATCTACGTCGACCCACTTCGGCTTGCTGACCTCAGGAGCAACTGGCTTCTTTTCTACCTCAGGTTCTTGCTCAGAAGCTGGCTTCTTCTTGATGAAGTAGCTTGTTTCCTTGATAGTCTGGAGACTCTCTTTTGTGCTGCTGAGAACGGAGTCGACACCGGATGTGAGCGCACGGAACTTGGCCCACTCGTCTGACTCTGCCGGCTTCTGCTGTGGCTTCCCCGACTCCTCTGAAGGAGCCGCTGCAGCTCCCGCTGCTGTCGGATCCTCGGCTCCTTCGTCACCCTGACCTTGTTCTTCTTTCTCTCGCTGTTCCTGTTCGCGAAGTTCCTGCTCCCGCTGCTTCTCAAGACGATATTGCCGAAGCTCTTCTTGCTCAAGCTCTTCTTCGGTAGGCTTTTTCTTGCCTTTAACTTTCTTCTTGATGCCTTTTGTTAATTTGTACATGTCCTAACTTGAAAGATCTGAAACAGATAGAAAGAAGTGTAAGTATGGATATCAGGACTGCCATGAGATAATGACCTATGTGAGCAGTGTTTTGTTGCTTGGAGATTCCGGAATGTGCTACAAAAGCACATAGCTCATGAACGTAATGCAAGTGCTTATAGCCATGGAGCTTTGAGAACGTGTGTGCACTTTCTGTGCACACACTTTTTACAGCATGTAGAAACTGTGTGATCTACAGCATGAGGGACCGCATTGGCAAAACCATTGAAATTAAGAAAAGGTTGTGACGGATTTGCGCATATTTCTCCTCCGACAGAGTTCCTGTCATTGGACACCGATGGACGTCACTATGACGAAAGAACTCTGTAGCTATCATCCACGGCTAAAAAAAGATTGCTTTCAAACTTTTCACCATCGATCTGTTTGATTGTGTACCTATAGTTATATGTTCTCCATTGTGACTAGAATGCGTTCATTTTAGCAGACGTGAATGACCAGTGGAGGTCAATAGGATTGTGAATGGGCAGTATTCGATAGGCAATCACTAGCTCGCTCAAGGTCCACAGTGAACGTTTTACCAAAGTACGTTTCCTGATTGTGGACGGGACAGACTGCAGCGCTGTGAATTAGTTATGACTCATACATGTCCGCAGGGACTTTGCATCGGGTATTGCTCCCCTTCCCCTCGCCTGAGGAGTGAATCAGAATTCTCCCCTCGCCCCTCCGTGCTGGCGGACCAGACAACCTCCGTCTGGCTTTACCAGCGTCTCCCTAGCAGTCCTAACATCGCTAGAAGCCGTGTCAGTTCACCGGCTTCAACGGACCCCGGCCGGAGACGATTGGACATTGTTCAAGATTCATGGCGGACAGAGCCAGTTTTACTGTCTGGGGAGATCAGGCAGTGTTGCAGCAGGAACAGACGGGCTGTCACAGGCATTGGCGGAGATTGGCTGGTAAAGTCAGGTGGAATTTCTTTAAATCGGGCAATATGTGGGGTGAATTGGCGCATTCTGTATAAAAAAAAACATATGGAATATGTTGGTATGTTATTTCTGCTTCCTGGTTTACTTTTCACATCATTTGGGTATTAGCAACGTGTACTCGGGTCGTTACAATAACGTAATATAACAAATGTAGGTACATGATTGATGCGAGCAATATAATTGCCGAGCAGAATAATAACAGAAGCATCCAGAATAATTTACTTAGTTCCAATAAATTTGATAGGTCATGGAGTGCGATAACATTTTGTAAATAGACCCATATTCAGCCTTCGCTTACATTATTTTACGGGACATTCAAAACTGATAAACTGACGTCGCAAAGTTCCACGCGTTTCAAGTCAGTAAATTGCAATGTCATGTCCAGTCGTCTGCCGGTGACTCCTTTATTCTCCGGTGCTACAGACGACACTTCAAGCACCTGGTTTATTCACGATGATTACGTAAGGCTGTTGCGTCCTCGCATGGCCTTATTCCTCGCCGGTGTTCATGATATGACGCATCTGTTGCGTCTCTGCAACAGTCACGGCCCACCTGTGAGCTTCAGGGTAAAATGATGAAATGAGCCTTAATCAGTGAAAATACGGGAAAAAGTGTGTTTATAGGTCAGAAATTTACTGCTTGCGCTTCCAAAATTTGGAAAACTACGTCTACAACCGAATGTTTGTATTGTATGTATATGTTATCAACCGAATATTTGGCTATCTAAATATCAGGAATAACATCAAAACTTTTGACATTTCGCAACACTGCAGAATCATTTCACAACGCTGCATTATTATTTCACAAAGCACAATATTGAAAAAGAGCAATGCAGCGTATCAAACCAGGGTGGCACGACTGGTATATCTGACATTTCAAGCAAATAGATTACAATCCAACTATTTTACGTAACAATTTCTTAGACACCACCGCAATATCGAAAGCGACTGCGCCTGGTCATGGCTAGGCCAATCCTCCGTACCCCGTCGGTACCCGCCGTGCCTGAAGTCCAGCGACCCTCCCTACCCAGGCCGCCGCTGCCGACGGCTCGCGGCCTTCCCATGCGTCAGCCGACACCCCGCGGAGTAGGCGCCGATCGTCGGCCTGCCCTCCCTCTGCCGACGCGACGTCTCGCGTCGGACGGCCATCGATCCCACGGGCGCCCCGTCGACGCCGACGACGACGGCCGTCGCTGCCGATGCTGCTGCCAGCCCGCCGACGGCGCACCGTTCATCGAGTGCTCGCCTGAGGTAGCGGCGGTGGCGGGGGGGGGGGGGTTGGTCACGACCAAGATGGCCCCCGCTGACGGCAGCTGATTCATTGTGACGTCATCAGACGGACGCAGGCGGAGACAGTGACGTCACTGAACCCATCGGAGGCCGAGGGGGAGGGTATAGGAAGGGAAAGGATGGATTGTGAAGGCAGATCGGTATCTCCTCTAAGAGTTATCGAGCCCATGGTACACCGGAGATAGCCGTGGATGAATTTGGAGTTTGTTCGAGCCCGGCATAGGACACTTAAGCAAAACTGAATTTGTTTTATTGGGATGTTTTTATACCCCCTACCAATGAATCATGTTCAGTAGATACTGAACATGGGCTTCATTTGATTTGATTATCTATTATGAATTACATACTAGTATATTCTTTAAATCAATACTATGGGAATATTTTTTGGGCATTATAATCATCAGTAGCGGCTGTCAAAGATTGGAACAAAATGTAGTCATGATGTGTTACCAATTCTCACAAATACATGGTTCACATTCTGTCAAATGCAGCAATTAACCCTCGCCCGTAAACGGCGATCTGCCACCTTCGCCCATGCGGGGGGGGGGTTGGTGCGACCCCCCCTTGGCGTTTGAAAACGGAGCGTTGTAGAGCTTAGCGGAAAAGACCAACGGATTGCTCTCGCCGAGATCTCGCGATTGGTGGTATATTTTTTGGTCCTAGGTCAACATTTGACCTACTTTTGACCGGTCAAAGGTCAAATTTTCGGAAAAATAGACTTTTTCAATTTTCCGCGGCGATTGCGGCAAAACAGTGGAAGATATCGACTTGAAACCTTCACTATCGTGTTCCTTGATCAATTCTCTATCGTTTGGTATGTATTTCGTTTCCCTAGCTCTAAAAATGGCGCGTTGGGAGCGCCGGAAGTCGGCAAGGTCACAGTCGGCGGCAGAAATTCGAAAAATCAAAATTTAAATTTTTGAAATCTGATTGTATTTTTGGATTTGGGAGGTCCATTTGCTCCCTATAGAAGCTAATATTGCTGCATATTCCCATTGAGGTGACAAGAATTAGCAAAATAGTGGTTCGGGCGCTTTTCAAAAATAGTACCGGACGCTGTTCCTCTTGTGACGTCATAGCTCCGTGACCTGACCTGACCCGGTCAAGTTTCTTATACCATATGATAGCCAATACTTGCCCCAACATGCATGGGAAGTTTCATCACGATCCATCAACCGATGTCCATACCACCGGCAGGAAACCTCGGGCGTTGGCACTCAGTTTGTGAAAATCCGGCCGGAGGCTGTTCCCTTTGTGACGTCATAACTCCGTGACCTGACATGACCCGGTCAAATTTTTTTTTTATCAAAAGATGCGCAAGATTTGCCCCATAAGGTACCCAAAATTTGGCGGCGCTGCACGCCGCCGTTTTTGCACTACTTCCGAAAAGCCTCAGGGGGGGGGGGGGTTGCACCAATCCCCCCCTACATGGGCGAGGGTTAACATCTAGAATTTCTTACGTTATATGCGAATGAATACAAGACCACTTTTACTGTGATTAAAAGCAAAGCATTTGACTTCAGAAGAACATATAGCGTCAAGAGGGCTATCCACTTCCAGACGCCTACTTCCACCGAGCAGAAAATACATCACCCCACCGTTCCTGCGACGGCGGGTAGGTGATGAAGGTGATATATGTCGTAGCTAGGTCCTGAGGATGACTCATCTTTTGAGGTGAGGTGAACTAAGATGAAATGGCCAGGAAGATAAATTTGGCATGTGTGGTTCTCGCCCACCCGTGCCATTCCTAAGCATTGGCTGTTTAGTGTCCAGCCTACTCAAATCGGATGTCTGGAGAATTATGTACGTAATGGAACCTGCAGACCATGCCCAAGTTCTGCTTTGCCAACACTGGCAAATGATCTTAACCCTTGCATGTGTAGGGGGGGGGGGGTCGGATGGACCCCCCCATGGTTTTTCGGGAATAACTCGCGTAAAAAGCGGCCGATCGCGACGAAACTTTCAGTACCCTCGCATTGATCAATTTTACACCTACCCTGAAAATTTCATGACCCTGACCCAAATGACCTTTGACCTGTGACCTCTTTTCCGAGACCATGTTTGGCCGGAATCGCGATTTCGCGTATGTCGGCTCGCACTAGCCGCGTGTTTGCAAGCTTTTCGTGGTTTCAAACGTTCAAACATGTGATTTGATGTTACTCCCGTGTGTGTCAAGGTCACCTGAAGGTCAGGTCAGGTCATTGACCTTTGGTGACCTCGGGTGACCTCGGGTCACTTTTTCGAGTTTTACATGTTTCTAGGCTAGTTTTTGGAGCTGAATTCGAATTTAGCAACCATTTGAACATTTACGAAGTAGTTTTGGTGACTTCGTAACATGTTACGAAGCTGTCAGAGACGGTTGACACGTACTACGAATACCCGTCACGACGCCTACTGGTTGACCTGACCTGACCTGACCCGACCTGGTCTAAATGCTTCAAGACATCATCTGTGATCAAAACTAACACGATATTCGTGATCAGCACCCCGAAAAACCCCTTAGCAGCCACACTTTACGACTTTCTAACAGGTCCCGATTTTCCCGACTTTGGGTCATTGACCTGACCTGGAAGGTCAACCAATGACCTAGGACCTTAAAATTGGGTATCATCGGCTTCCTCTCGTCACGGGCAACACGCTCGTTTTTTCCGCGAAGCTCTAGCTCGATCAGGGGCCAAACGGCAAGGGGGGGGTCCAACCGACCCCCCCCCCCTACACATTAGAAGCTGGCAAACGCCGCACACA